CCAGTCGGCCAGAGCTATGCTGTCGTCGTCGTCAGGAACCGGCGTCAGGAGGTGGCGTAGGACCAACCCAGTCGACCAGAGCTGCACTGTCGTCGGAGATCGCTAGGGCACAACCGGTCGGCACGGAATCCAGTGAGCGAGTGCATTAGAACATTTACAATATAATTTCGATAGACAAGGTTCTGTTTGGCGTTGGATCAGTTGTTTCCAGACTGCCACCAAATTTAGCAGAGAAATTTGCCCCTGTAGTTCTTGCTTCTTCGTGAGAGTTTGGTGTCGTCCGCGGTGCATTTCGCGAGTGCATAAGCGATCGATCTATCGATATATGGGGTTTAACGTCCCAAAACCACATATGATTATGAGAGACGCCGTAGTGGAGGGCTCCGGATTTTGACCACCTGGGGTTCTTTAACGTGCACCCAAATCTGAGCACACGAGCCTACAACATTTCCGCCTCCATCGGAAATGCAGCCGCCGCAGCCGGGATTCGAACCCGAGTGCATAAGCGACGCTGGCCGTTTTAATTAACAGAATGAACCGCACCTTGCAGATGTTAGGACGCGTTCTCTTTCTGTGTGTGCTGTGCAATTAAGAGGCCGTTTTAATTAACGGAATGAACCACGCCTTGCAGACGTTGGGGCGCGTTCTCTTGCTGTGTGTGCTGCTGTGTATTAAGAGATCGTGTCTCAGAGTTAGGGAATCAATGACGCGTCGTCCGCCGTGCATTTCGCAAGTGCGATGAACTTGTTTGCGAGTGTGTGTGTGACGTAATTAACGCAATGAACCGCGCGTTACAGAAGTCGGGGCGTGCTCTCTATAGCTGTGTGCGCAGCTGTGCAATTAAGAGATCGCGTCTCAGTAATAGGGACGACGGGGAAAACTGAATAGAGTCGCAGCAAGTGGTGCGCTACCCCCCCCCCCCCGCCCCCCTTTCTTTTTTTTCACAGCTGATCGTGCCGCGCCGACCGCGCACTAGTACACTATAGCTATACGCTTCCCCTAGCTGTGTCAGCACAATACATATATCGTTCGGACTCGTGTACATGTGACGAAGAAACGTCCCAAGGCTGGCTAATTGGGGTACGTCGGATATGCTACAGCTATATACGCCTGGAAGGCTGCTTTATCGATGCAGTTGGAGCTAATTAAGCGCGACTCGCGCGTACCTGGAAATGGGACCCCGAATAAGCATTCATTATTTGAAACTTTGGTCGTTTGTGCTTATTGTGGGTGGGGCCCTGCAAGCGACGTCGGCTCGTCTGCGGGGTCCCATATGCAGGTGCGCGCGAGTCGCGCTTAATTCGCTCCAACTGCATCGATAAAGCAGCCTTCCAGGCGTATATAGCTGTAGCATATCCGACGTACCCCAATTAGCCAGCCTTGGGACGTTTACTCGCCACATGTACACGATTCGCAACGATATGTCTTGTGCTGACACAGCTAGGGGAAGCGTAGCGTCTCGGCGCGGCATGATCAGCTGTAAAAAGAAAAAAAAAAGGGGGGGGGGGGCAGTGCACCGCCTGCTGCAACTCTATTCAGTTTTCCCCGTCGTCCCCAATACTGAGACGCGATCTCTTAATTGCACAGCTGCGCACACAGCAAGAGAACCCGACTTCTGTAATGCGCGGTTCATAGCGTTAATTCCGTCGCACACACACTCGCGAACAAGTTCATCGCACTCGCGAAATGCACGGTGGACGACGCCTCGTTGATTCCCCAACTCTGAGACACGATATCTCGATTGCACAGCGCACACAGCAAGATAACGCGCCCCGACTTCTGGAACACTCGTTTTACGTTCATTTTGGTAATTAAAACGACCAACGTAGCTTACGCCCTCGCGAAATGCACCGCGGACGCACCAAGCCCTCACGAAAAAGCCACAACTACAGGGGCAAATTTTTTGGCTAAATATGACGGCAATCTGGCTACTACCACGCGAAAGTCTGGCAACTGATTTATGCACGCCAAATAGAACCTTGCCATTTCGGTATTCTAGCCACCCTAATTTCGGTATTACCAGACGCACAGCTGCGAATTACTGTAAAAAAAACTATTAAACAAAACTTTCGTTGGCAGGGGTAAAATGCATGCGCAGTGTGCGCTGAACACGTAGGTGCTGTGCGCCACTACATCCTCCTTTTTTTTTTTTTTTCATGGTTCATCACAAGGAGGAAGGAAAGGTCTCTTCCCTTGCACCGTGTCCGTGGTTCATCATCTATTTCCGTTTATACACTCCAACAGAGGAAGGAAACAACTCCGTGCACTTCGGGTGACTCCGGTGCACTCTGCTGGTGCACTGTACCATTGACCTATTTCTGTGCTTGGCTTGACTGACATTTGGCTCACATAAATAAACAACATACCATTTTTATTGCTGTTCATGTAAAATTATTATGTTTGCTCAATTAAGTATAATTTTATGACTTTTACTGATCATTACAGTTCGCTTAACTAAATACGAAACTGCGGACAAATGTTTGCTAGTTCAACATTTACTTTCAGCAGATGGCTGGCGTGATGGCGTGTAGCGCTTTTTCATCTCACGCGTGTGGTTAGCCGTTATGTTAGGTTGTAGAATTTAGAATGGACACTGCGTTAGTTTTACGCTATAATTTGCGCTGGTGTCTATGTCATATTGAGGAGCGTAGTTTAGCTATAGTAACCTAATACAAAACAGCCGGCGATCAGGCCTAGACTGACTCCATCGTCGTAAAAGAAAGGTACAGGTGACTTCTGATTCCTCAGCTGACTTTCTGTTTTGTGTTTTTTTAGCCTCTTCTTTACCAATGTCGCGACGTTGTCGTTTCCTGGGAAAATACCCTGCTTTCTTTTCTGATTGCTGTCGCGCGCGTTGTGTGCGTTGCTGGTTTGCCCTCGTGTGCGAATGAATGAGTTTCTTGCGAAGCGGGACTTTCTGTTTCGTTTGTTTCACTGATTGTCTGGAAGCAGCACGGTGATAATGATTAAGCCATGCGCAGGCGTTTTTGGTCATTCTGTGTACCTTTCGCTAAGGTATAGTTTAATGTTGTGAGATATTTATGCAGTCGCCGTAGTGTCAACTGATGAATGACCTTGCGAGTTGCGGTAGTTGCTAAGAACTAATTCTGGTTTGAGGTCAATTGAATGATAAAAAGCTCCATGCTCTTTTTACCATCGGGTTATTGAGCAATTTCCGGCGCACTCGTTACTTAAGAGATTGACCTGGGCAGAAGGCAGTATTTGACAACTTTACCCGACGGTTGGTTCCTTCTGCACTGAACCAATGCCTCCTTTGACTGAACTTGCTTAGTTTCTGGCGCTTATTTCGCCTGCGCTTCCCGTTGTATAATTCGGTCGTGTGCTCCACTTCTAATTATTCGGTCATGTATGGATGATGCAAAAACGTGAAATCCAAATGTATGCGCCTGCTTGCGAACATCGGTGCGTGTATATGTTTTAGTGCGAATTGTGCGCAGTGATCTAACTAGGTCGAACGGATGTTATGTGGAAGTGCAGTAAAGAGCGTATAAAAAAGCTAATTCCGAATGTTTTTGCGCGATGAAGTAATGCGTGATGACTAAGTCCATAGAAATAACTGGACTGTCAATGAAATAAATACAATAAAACTGCATCGTGGTGCTTTATGATCTTTCCGTGGTTGTTGATGCCTATGCTAAGTTATCGTTGTTCTTCCGCGCATAAGGTAAGCATTCTCTATGTGCGTTATCGGAACGTGGTGCATGGCTTGATAAATATTTTCTGTGTGTTAGTTAATAAGGTCGTTGCTTAAAAGAGGGGAAAAAAACAATTGCGGCTGTATTTATGGGTTCCACTCTGTTCAAAATTACGTGTCGCAATTGTGTAGGGGAGGCAACTTAGCTTCATAAACAGTATACGAATTGTTTTAACAATGCTGAATAATTCTGGTCGGTTTCATTACTTCCTAAAACTAACAAGTTCCCTATGATGCAAAAGGACGATTGGTTGTTTAGTTGTTTCTTGAAGTCCTGGGGCACGCTGGTAATTGTTTTTAAGCAGGCTGGAAGACTCATTTAATTGCAGTCATTAATTGAGTTTAAGTCAATTATTGATTTAGCAGCATAAAAAGTGATATACTCTGTCATCAATTGGGTGCATTGCAAGATATTGGAACTTGCAACAAATATATGCTGTTTTTATTAAATGAGATGTGTCCCTAATGATGTTCATGTAAGTTGGGCTTGTAAACAAAAACAAAAAAAAAATTGTGTACCTTGCTTAAGAATGTTAGGTGGTTTTAAGTATTATGGTTTAAATTAATTCACAAGGGTCAGGCTTAAAAGCTAGATAGGCATTGACACCTTTCATACCAGTGTTCCTATGACACGTGAAAATTTCACAAGAAAAATGTCAAGAAGTTGTTGGTTTTACTTGCAACTCATTTCGGTATCCACACTATGTATTCACATAGCTTAAGCATCAATGATAATCTTGAATGTTGTCAGTGACTCGAAATTGAGAAAAACTGAAGAATACTCTTTCAAAGTACCATAGATTTCATTTGCTCGGACATTTGTACCCGACAATGATGAATATTTATTATTGGTGTCTTGCTCAGACGATAAAGCTCTTGCAATGTTAAGTGCAGAAGTTAAATAGTGAGCATAATGCATAATCATCTTCATAAAACTAAAGCTTTAAATATCATGCTCATAGATAAATAGAGAATTCAAACTAAGTGTAAACTAACCAAGCAAGTTTTGGATAGCGAGAGAAAGAGGTTAGTAGTAAACGGCACTGTTTAGGCTCTTGTTGTCACTCCTGCGTCCACTGGCTGAATATTGCTACTGGCTGAACATATACATTCTACACAAATTCGTTAACGTATATATTAACTAAAATGATGATGTGAGGTGTGCACAACTGCTTGTTTGCATCGTGGGAAGAAGCAAGTCTTCAGTGAACTTTGTGTCACCAGTATAACTGTGTCAGTGGAGAAGGCTTGGATCTGACAGGCATTTGTAAAGCTGAGATCTTTGTATTAAAGGGGGCTAATGTGAAATTCTCTCTCTTTTGCTGTTGGGTTGCTGTCAATTGTGGTAATGGTATATATAATAGCTTGAATCTCAAGGATGTAGCAGTGAATTTATCGTGCTGCTTAAGGCAGCCTTTGTGACATTTGGCACCTAGTTACTGCACAGAAATTGGACATGGCAGTGGCACATAATTGTAGGTCGCCTACATGTGCTTGTCATGCCCAGTGTTAGAAAGTCTTACATAAACATGTGGCCAAAAGCTGTGAGAGTGCCACTAAATCGGCCCTCCCATCTTCCTACATTTTGTAGTACTACACATTCCACGTAAGTGTGATCCTCTGCCTTCGCTTTTCTGAGAATGTGGCGGGTGTACACAACCTCCTCTTCACTTTTATGTTGGCGTGAGTACACTCGCATTTTTGTGCCCAGTAAGCACACTTTAACAGTGTGTGTGTGAGATACGTTATTACCAGAGCGCAACCTTTTAAGCCACACTGCACTTCGTCTGTGTTTTTAAGTGGTTATTTAAAGGGTGGTTATGATTATTTGTATACTTTAGCAGTTAAAATCTTATTATGAAAATACTTGGTAAGCAGCTATGTAGTAAGTGAAAAAAAAAGATAATGTCCCTACACATCTAGAGCTTGAAATCCTTGACGATCACTGATGTGCACGAATATTTGAATAAATGGAATATATTTTGAATACTTCTTTAATAATCGGCACAAAATGTGGAAACAATGAGGGATCATTTTTGTTGTTTTCATAATTGAATTGCTATAATGCATGCAACCCAAGTTTTTACAGGACTATTAAGGCAAAATGGTTCACTGCATGAATTTCATCATCATCATCATCATCATCATCAGCCTGACTATGTCCACTGCAGGACAAAGGCCTCTCCCATGTTCCACCAGTTAACCCGGTCCTGTGTTTGCTGCTGCCTGCATGAATTTGTTCTTGCTTAAAGTAGTGCAGTGTCGCCAAAGCAGGTATTTAATCCACTATCAGCATCATGGAATTCATTATGATGTTGATTGAGGAAACGTTTCATTTTCATGTTTCAGTTTTATTTAAAAGATAATGACAAATATGACCTGGAATATTGAAGTATTTGCTGGAACTCATCTGACAGCTACTAAAAATCTTGAAGGCTCTAGTTACTGCTGTATTCGAGCATACCTCGGTTTGCATAATATTGGCATTTTTTGGTAGGTAAAAGCATTTGTAATAATTTTTTGTTAAAGTTAATGAATATTTCTTTTAAATAAATTGTTCTCAAAATGGCTGTCCTAATCATTTTAAAGAAAAACATCACACAAAAAAGGCAGACAGGAAAGAGAGGCAAGACAAGAGGTGTCTTTCCTCTCTCTTACTTGTCGGGTTTATTTGTGCAACGTTTTTCTTCAAAGTGAATGCTTACGGCCTCACCCAACTCGAACGATATTGGAATTTTATTCGTATTCATTTCGATGTCATCACTATTTGATTCTTATTCGATTCGGTTCAAAAGTTCACTATTTGGACACCCCTAGTACCTATTGTTAAGCTAAAAGCAACATGCCAGTGATGCCAAAATAAACTGCATTTGTCATTATAGCTTTCTTTTTTTTCCCCATCATAGATAATCTCTCTAAACACTAGCCTATCTGAAAACTCGCATCTCCCCACAATTGCAATTTTGGCACCATCTCAGCTCAGTCAAGACACTAGACTAAAATTATAGATATGATGAGTGAACATTGTGGCAAACTTCCATTGGAATCAGTGTGACGTCACATATTTTTACAGGAGGTTTTCACTGAGCTTTTTCTATTCTACCAGGCAGTGCCAGTGAGCATGCCTTCATAGCCATGGTCGGTCAGCGATCCGGCGTATGACAGAGTGATATTTGATGGTGCTGCACTTCACTAATCTGTTTTCTTAGAAAAATGTCAATGTAACACGTTGTGCCAAGAATTTTGTTTGTGGTACAATGATGATGTTCACGCTCGAGACCACAAGTATGGCAAAAATTCATGATGTTACCACCAAGCTGGTGAGAGATGTACAAAGCGGTGTCACAGACCATCTTCTTTGCTGCTGTTCTTAATTTTTAAATTAAGTTTTCTCCTTTTCACACCTTTGCTGGCTTAGCTAGCTGTATAAGGTCTAATTGAGATGAGAATGGCATTGTTGGTATTGTCAAAGTAACTTAATTATGTGGGTGTAGGCATTTTTCTTTAAATGCCCCTTCAGGAAAGAAAACTGCAGAGCAACACAGTTGATAAGTGCTACAATGCTCCATCAACTAGTGTAACCAGAAGCTTTATTGAGCCATTACTATGTTGTTAAAATGTATATTTGTTTATCTGTTCAGTGCCATGTTGATAATATAGTGGATAGCGACACTTAGCAAGCCAACGAGATGGCTAATTCGAGTGGCATGAGCACCTATTCTGTGGTATGGCCAAACACAAACACACAGAGGGGTGTAGCTATTATTCATGTGGGTATAAAATGTTTAAAATTTTGTTTGGCAATCTTCCTTTTTTTCAAGTACTTATGTTTGACCTCTGGTGTTCCCCTGGACATCCCCCAACAAATCAGTGAATTTGTTTAATTTAGTCCTGCTATTTTTACTCGTCACATGCATAGTTTCACTGTTTGTGTGTCTCTCTTGCTACATGTGTAGGAGCTAAATGCTAGAAACTGAGTAAAAAAAATGGGATGTAGGGGTGTCTAGCCTTGCAACATATTTGGAACATAGTCAGAAAAAGCTGCTGACCGATAGCTGAGACACAAGTGAATGTGTGAGCCAAATATCGTAGCACTGCACGTACGTGGCAGAAATACACGCAACGTGTGCCAAAAATTACTATGTTGCCCAAAGGGGCGAATTCAGTTGAGAGAAAAATCATCTTATGTGTGACCGAAAGAACGATGCAAATAAAATAATTAAAAAATTTGGGGTCAGAGTGGGGATTGAACCAGGGCCGTTTGGATAAGAGCGGGGAATAAAGCAGGGACGTTTGCGTGGCAAGCGGGTGTTTTACCACATAGCCATGCCTTTGTCTGAAAATACAGGGAAAATAACTTCCTCTGCTTGTAAATGCAGTGAAAGCAACTTGCATACTTTACAACCACGGGAGTATTGTATATATGCTTCACAATACAGCATGTAATATCGCAGTAATAATTTGTGGTACAATTTCCCATTGCGATTGGACGTCAGAACATCAGATTATGATAACTTCATGGTTTAAAGCGGACCACACACTACAAAAGGTTCACACATTACTGCACCTTTTCCCTTAAGCCCATGTAGTGGGTGCCTAGCAAGCTTGAAAAGATTTTTCACGCACAGTTTCCCATGTTTTAAAGCATGCTACTCATTACACAGAATGCAGCCGTACCCGAAAGCTTTACTGACACAAGCATTTTTGATCTCGCTGCACACAAAGGACAGGATGTGGCTATCACAGTCAACTCTTAAAGGCGAAGCTAAAGGGCCTCCCAATTTTTTAGCTTATGCTCTAAATTAGGGGTCGGCAACCTGCGGCCCGTGGGGCAGTATTGTGCCGCTGCCAGCTACGTCACTCCCCCCCCCCCCCACCCGTCTTCTTCTTGTCACTTCATATCTGAAAGCCAACATAGCAGTTCTAACCGAAAATGGGGGTTTCCCTTGTAACCTACATTTGATTGCAACATTGTGACACTAGTGCTGAAGATAAACACGATTTTTAATCCCGTTTTGCTAAACGTAGCCAATTTGCCAAGTGTTTGTTTTTCCTGCAAACCCCCCCCCCCCCCCCCCCCCCCCCCCCCCCCCCCCCCTTGTTTTGTCGTCCAGCTCCCCGCTGCCTTGGTGGCCTTGGTTTTCATCCAAAATGGCCCTCTGCCTCAAAGGGTTGCCAACTCCTACTTTATATCATCATTCTCAGCCCATTTTAGTCCTCTGTGGGGGTAAAGGCCTTTCTTAATGTTCTATATGCAAGTGCTTTTTTACTTGCTCTTTTCGTATGAATGCACAAGTCAGTATTCATACAAAAATGAACAATTCAGAAGCAGGCACATGCAAGCTAGCAGAATGCTGTACATGAGATCTTGTTTACTCTCATGTTCTATATGGCTAGACCAATCAATGGAGCTGCATGCATGCACTTGTTAATACCTCATGACTTTTACTAGTTTAGAGGGATATGATCACTTAGCTCACGTTTTTGTCTGGTAAGCCAGAGCAACCACTTCTTGGCCATTTGCTTTTGTTCTTGCAGTGTCTTGTTATATATAAGATTAATCTTCAGTTTGACATACTGGTCTAGAAACTATCTTAGTTTATTCATTCAGTGTATTAGAGATACTGTTTCTCCCAACATTTAGCAGTTTTCTTATGCGTCAGCCGTACCGCATTCCTATCGATGTGTTGAATTCCTTGGAAACATGGTACAGATGTGGAAGTCCTGTGGCACTGTCACCTCATATAATAAACAGAGCCTTGCCTTCCTGTAATTTTTATAGACATTCATTGTAGCAGCCACAAGAAACAATGTAATGGCACGTTAACAGACATCTGCTTGTTATTTTCTATGTACCTGTCAGCTTCTCCTATCCTTATACTGCACTTAGGATAGAGTTCATATTTTTATAGTCGTTCATAATATTAATGATTTATAAAGCACCTGTGGGTATTATTTGGTCATGAGCAATTCAAAAGCATTAAATCACACCCTTAGTTCTACTTCTCACTCTTATGCTTTGTATCAGTATTGAAGCTGTGTAAGCATGCTGTATGACAGTGTATCTTAAGAAAACAAAGTGCAAGTACAATGTTCTACACAGCCTCAGCAACCTCCACATCCTGTTTTATTGCTTCATTAGTTTCTTAACCACCTTCTCTTAAGGTTGTATGAGAAGGCAAGAGTTTGTATAAAATTTTGACTTTCATTCATAAATCATTACCTTCTGCTGAGAGCAAAAGAAAAACTATTTTAAATACTACCACTGTGCAATTTTATATTGCAATGTTATGCCCTGAGATGCCATGTCTAAAAATACTGTAGATAATTTTTTGTGTTCTTGTAGGCTTCTGTAAAACTTTAAATCCATGTAAATAATACTGATAGCAATTTCCAGTCTAACCTTAACAAGATACTTCCTTTCTAAAACATTGTTAAAAATAAGAATTTATGGACCAAGAAATTAAGAGCATATTTGTGTCTTGTAAGTTTATTTTCTTAACCAGCATGCAGACCTTCGCAGGAGCCTTTTCTACCAATGTTAATATTGTAGTGCAAGGGGTATAAGCTCATTCTTAATAAAGTTTTGCAAGCTGTCCATGCAATTCATTACATGCCAGTATTGATGATAATGTATTTATTTATTTATTTATTTATTTACAGATACTGCAATCACCTTTGGTGATTTTAGCAGGGTGGTTCATGAAGTTAGTCATGAACAAATGGCAAGTACAATGTCATATAATATATACAGGTTATACAATGTCTATAGGGCAAATACAAACTTCAACTGGCAATATCATACAATAAAAAATAGAAGACTACAATTATACAAGCATGTACAGTGGTATGTAATACGATTCAACAATTCAACTGGTTAGTGCACTTTCTAATTTCGAGGAAAACAATGCCAATGAGGGTGCTGAAACAATTGCATTAGTTAGTTTGTTCCACTCGACTATGTATGCAACAAACACTGCTACCATGTGGTAGCAGAAAAAGCAGCTATTGATTTTTGTGTGTGTGTGTGTGTAGTTGTAAACAAATGTATGGGTCGTATTTACTGGGGCATATTATGAAATACATGTGCTCTGGAAAGTATGGTTTTTTATTCATACCAAGTTGTCATTTCAGCAGCAAAAAGAAAAATATTTAAAAATCTTCTTGGCTGGTTTCTCATGTGAATTTGACAGTGAGCATTCTCTTATCTACTCTTGCAGAGGTGCAGCTGCTGTGCATGGTGTCCGTGAATAGTTGCTGAGTGAAATAGGGCTGCCAGTCCTACTCCTCTGCGCCCCACTGCCATGCACCGGAGGCCGATATCTAGCAGCGTCCACCTTTGGCAGCTGACCATGTTGCGACCAGGAAGGTGTGTTGTAGCTGGTTTCCACCGCCCCGGGCACCCACATAGACTTTTGATGTCCACATGGCATGGATGCACACCACCTTTGCACCGCCGCCGGGTGCCAACGGCAGCCGCATCTCCGCACAATATGTTGTCCCTGGTGTTCTGTCGGCCACTGTCTGTGCCATCTCAGCGGCTCTTCGAAAAAGAGTCCTCAAAGGTAGAAGGCACAGTGAAGGCACTCAAAGAAGCCGAGCCATCCGCAGTAGCCACCAAGCCAGATACGTCTGCTGCAGCCGTGCCTGCGCCACCAAAGCGGCCACTTGTGAAGAGGATCTGGGACGAGTTGGTGCACTACTACCATGGTTTTCGACTCTTGTTCATTGACATTCGAGTCTCAAGCCGATTGGTCCATAGGGTTCTCAATGGTGACGAACTGACTCGACGAGAGCATAAGCAGGTGCATTATTTTATTCTTGTTGCTTCAAGTTTATGTTTTACACCTGGTATTGTTTTTCTGTGTGTGAGCCATTTCATGAGTGGCAATGCGAGAAATGTTTGTCATTGTCTGTTCTGCTTTGAAAGTGAGAAGCCGAGTTTTTAAAAAATATTAAGGCCACAGGCATTTGACTATACGTCAAAACAATGCTGCTTGCAAGCGTGGGACTCTTATGCATTGGAGATTTCAGTGCAGCATTTACGGAATAAGCTGTCCTTAAGCACACTTATATATGTTACTGCCGCAAACTGACCAAGGAGCACAATTTTACATAATATTATGGATTAATGGTTGTGGAAAACTTTGTAGTGTGCAAACAAACATAAATAGAGAAGAGAGATGATACGGACTAGCGCTGCAATGATGCACTAGCATTAATGGAGCCATTCTAATTTGATTCTAACCATCAATAAGTCAAACATCTGCTTCAGCATCAGTTTTGTAACTTTGTATGGAAACTTAACCACATTCAAGCTGTACATTATGAAGTAAGGGCACTACTTGACAATCTCTTTCAACTTTTTGTACTTATTATATTGTCAGGTCGGTATATTTTTCGCTACACTTTTTCTGCTGCCAGCGAACATCGCCAAGACTGCGATTGTGACATCATTCAGGGTTTGTGCATGCAGTTCAAGTTGAAAAACACTGTTCAGACGTTCTAGAAGTTTATTAAAGAAGTAACCCATGGATTAGCCTTCATATTTTTATATCTTGATGACCTTCTGGTAGCTAGTGTTTCTCCTGAACAGCATCGCAACCGTGTGCACTTCCTATTTTCCCGGCTCCAGGAACACTGCCTTCTCATCAACCCCGTAACGTGTGTCTTTGGTGTCGAAGACATCGAGTTCCTCTAACATCATATGACTAGCGAGGGCAGTAGACCGTTAGACAAGAAAGTTACAGTTCTACGCGGCTTTCCTCGCCCAACATCTATACGAAAGCCCTGCGAGTTGCTTGGGTTGCTCAATTTCCGTCATCGTTTTCTTCCCAACATCGCCCACATAATCATACCGCTCACCGACCTACTCAAGACCACGAAAGTTCTGTCATCCCCCCTGACATGGACGGCTGATTTCGAATCACCCTTCCAAGCTGCCAAAAACGCGTTGGCGAACGCCATACTGCTGGTGCATCCTCTGCATGTTGCACCAATGCGTCTTATCACCGATGCATCTAGTGTGGCCGTCGGCGCGGTGCAGCAGTTGCAACACGACTCCTGATACCTACTCTGGTTTTTCTCGCAGAAACTGTAGCCTGCAGAAACCCACTACAGCACGTTCGTTCGTAAGCTGCTGGCAGTTTTCTTAGGCATTCGACATTTCCGACACCTGCTGGAGGGCTCAAGCTTTCACGTCCTCAAGGGTGCACTAGCCTTTGACATTCGCTTTTCGCGGTAATCTTGACACTTATACTGCACGAGAAATACAGCACCTCAACTTCTCCAAATTCACTGTGGGCACTCGATACATTGAAGGCCCAGTCAATGCAGTTACAGATGCCCTCTCCCGTATTGACACCGTATCAGTGCCCACACTTGACCTCAAAGAAATCGCAACGGTGCAACTTACAGATGTCGAACTTCAGGACATCCGCTCGACCACCACGCCACTGGCGCTGACTGATGTTCCCCTTCCATTTTCTTCGGACACCATAACTTGCGACGTGTCACGGGGTTGAACTCGACCATTTGTCCCTCTCCAACTTGGCTGTGGCATATTCAACAAGCTCCACGGCGCCAGTCACCCCGGAGTTCGTGCTACTCGGCGTCTCATTACGACCCGCTTTGTGTGGCCGAGTGTGAACTCTGACGTACGGCGCTGAGCGCGTGAATGTCTCCACTGTCAACGCTGAAAGACGACCCGACACACGAAATCTCCAATTAAGTCATTTTGCCCACCCGATGCTCGGTTTGATCACGTTTGCATTAACATCTTTGGCCCGCTCCCATCGTCTCGAGCTGCTCGCTTCATACTCACTTGTGTGGACCGATATACATGACCTGAAGGTTTTCCTCTCACCAATATAATGGCATTTACCGTGTCTTCAGCGTTCGTTAGTAGCTGGATATCACGCTTTGAAAGCCCCAGCAATGTCACCACCGATCGCGGCCTACAGTTTCAATGCGATCTTTTCAGCAAACTAACGTGCCTGCTTGGAGTCCGCCATATCCATACTACCGTGTACCACCCATCAGCAAATGGAATGGTTGAATGCCTTCACCGTCAACTCAAAGCGTCTTGATAGCTTGCCCGGCTCGTTCATGTTGAGCTGAAGATCTTCCTCTCCTACTGCTTGGCGTGCGCTTGTCTTTCAAGGAAGACCTCGGCTACACAGCTGTGGAGTTGGTCTATGATACGACACTGCGTATGCCTGGGGAATTTTCATGCCAGGTACTGTCACTACACCCGATCCAGACAGTTACGTGGAACAGCTTCGTTTCCTCTGATCACGCCTGCGTCTTTGCCCTAGTCGCGATGCATTGTCGACTGACGTTTTTGTCAGCAAGGACTTGGCCACAGCGAGCCACGTTTTCATCTGGTGTGAAGGTATTCAACCCTCCCTTATGCCTCCTTACGACGGCCCATTCAAGAGGCTCAGCCGAACAGAAAAAGCTATCGTCATCGAGCTCAATGGAAGTAAAGAGGTCATGGCGATTGACAGAGCCGAACCCGCCTATCAGCAACAGTGCCAAAGTTATGTGCTTTGAACTTGTTTACCACGGCTGAAACGCAGTTTCGACCTGATCGCCTGACCTCAGAGACTGTTTCTTGGGCACCAGTGCATCACTTCGCTTCTTATCAGGAAGGGGAAGGGGGAAGATGGGGAGCAGCCCTCTAGCGGCCATCATCATCATCGTTGGCCGCCTATTAATTATGGCATGCTCAGGTGCATGTGCATGCCCATGCGCTTTGTTCCTCATGAGGCGTGCTCCACCATTACAAGAGAATAAAGCTCAGTTCTGCTCCTGCTGTTGGCCTGAACAGGTTCCTTGTTTTTTTCTTGCCACCACACGCAAAATTATAGAGGACCTAATCTTGGTCCCTCTACATTTAAAAAAAAAAATAGGATGTGCTTAAAGCAAGTTTGTATGCTCTCATTGAGCACATTTTCTATATTGTTTAACTACATTTAGCTATGAAGAGACTCGCTAACATGTGAAATAAAAATTTGGGCTGCATTAAACATCCCAAAATAATGTTACCAAGCTTTCCTGCAAGAAAATTCACTCCCAGTAACATCTTGAAGAGCTTTTGAAAAGATGGTGCCACCAGTCCATGATCTCTTGAAAAGCATATGTAAAGCTTAAAGGAAAGAGGCCTAAATGAGAACTCTTGTAGGCACAGCAAGACCTTTAAAGGGGCAGTGTCATCGGATGTATTGTTTGCATCTTCCCTGTTACAAACGTTTGTTATTGCTCCAGAAAGTGTGATACACGCCCGAAGATTCATGGATTCTTGCTATATAATTTAAAATGCCTTATTTATTTGGATGGCTTTGGGTTTCTGGGCACCGAGTTGGAAAATTGTCACTGTGTAGACATCGTGAACATGTGGCCTGGAAAGCTTTGACACAAGAAGTGCTGCATCATCTGCTCTCGCATACACAAGCAAGCAACTGTTTGGATGCCTTCAACACTCGCTGAAATTCTCAAATAGAGAATAATAGTGCATGCAGTATTCTAGTTTATACAGATATGTTTTTGGAGTACGGGGTTACGAGACGATGGTATCAACATCATCATCATCAAGATTTATTAACACTTAAGTGCCCTGAACAGGGCATTACGTAGAAAGGGGGCGGGGGGTTACAGAGTTTGTGGCACGTGTGATTGGACAAACTCTACATACAACACCCTTCAGCAATGCAGCAAATACAGAGCACATCAGTACTAATGATCGCTGAAAAAAGGTGTAGACACAATGCTTGGTGCAATCACAATTATAGGTGCACTTTCTTGCTTTTGCTAAGTGACCGTGGTGAAAAAGTGTTTTGAAAGGCAACTCGTTTGGAACTATACCACTGCCGAGAATCGACACCAGTTGAGAAGTAGAATTAGGTTTCTGCAACAGCAATTCTGGTTCATCTTAGCACCACCAGGTCTTTCTATTCGGTCTTTCTAAAGCCCCTGAATAAAATAAAAGTATTAGCATCTAGTGTTATTTTTCTTGTCCTCCTCTCCTGCGCTTCCTCCCGACGCTTGGTGCTCCCATTGGCCGAACGCCATCAAGTGCCCCTCGCACGCATTTTCTTTCGCTTGTTTTTTGTTTCTCTTGGGCTCGAGCTCCATAGAGGTATCCAACACGACGAGCTTCGCATGTGTGCAGCGCATTTAGCACCTCTTTTTCGAACTTCTCTTGCATGGCTTCAGTTGGTACGTGTTTGCGATTCCCCTTTGGTGCACTCGCGGTTACAGCATATGTGAAACTGACGGCAAGCTCCATTCTGGATTCCATTTGAGAAGTGAGACGCACCATGGTGGAAGATCTGGCTGCATAGAATCTGCTGGGATGACTTCAAACCATGTCGATTCTCTAAAGTACGCGAGTGTCCCCTCGCATTTCGCTAACATCATTAGGTTTTCATCCTTCTAAGGGCCACATACTCATTTTTGTGTTTATTTGTGATGTTTGTCCACGGTTTCCTTGCAGTAGTTTTGAAATGGGACTCTGTTAACCATGATGTAGGGTTTATGCTTTTTAGCTGGAGATGCTTCTCAGCTTGCATGCAAGGCGCATTTCATGGCAACGCCGATGTCCACCGCATGTCGCATTTTTTGTGTGCAGAAAACACTGCGTGTGTTTTGAACTTTAGAGTCTGGTGTGCAGTTGCTGCATTCTTTGACTAATAAATTCAGATTTTCTTCGCAGCACCAGTTGCTTCTAGAAAGCATTATTTTTCTGTGCGTCATCCTGCCTATAGATATCCACAGCCGTCAGCAGTCCGATAAAGGTCGCCGTGACACGTGGTTGTTTCTCACCGCAACCACAACAACATTGCGACGTCCTCTCACACTGCATTGCAGCTTGCTACGGTGACTCAGGCTGCTGATGTCATCGCCGCAAAACGCATGCATGGCCGTGTAGACGTGGCGTGGGATCGCACCCTGGTCCAAGGATCTGAGAGGGTCCAAACACACTTTCCAGTAAAGTTTTTCAGACTGTCCATCTGTCGATGTCCTCTTGTTGTGTTTCGTCAGTCAGTAAACATGAATAAAATCTCACCGAAATACCAGCTGACGAGTGCGAGCGCTTCATAGCAACAGTGTTGGACGCGGAGAGCGCTAGCTATGCACCACGTAGGTGGAGCCATGGTTGAAAGAAGAGAGAAAAAAACGCTGGCACAGGAGGAGGAGAGAGTTGCTGTCGTTACTTTTATTTTATCCAGGGGCTTTAGGTCTTTCATGTTGATGGCTATGGCAACCCAGTATGCTAAAGCAGAGAAGTGTACGAACAAACTAAGCTTCTCTGATGTTGCCTTTGCAAGTTCGTGTGACTCTGCATAGCGTTTTGCAAATTTCAAGCAAGTTTGGCTACTTTGACAGCCAGCTAAAAAAAATTTGTGCAGTTTTCAGCTGATGCTCTCTTGGCTTACCTGGTACAGCAGGGCTGTGGGTTATCGCCTATTGCGTGTCACTCTAATGTCATCACAAATATGTTTGTTAAGCTTCCTTCACTGTGACGTCAAGTGTCAGTCACTATAGTGATGGGTCTTTATCAGTAGAAAAAGCATTTAGGCACACTTTAGAAGTGAACTAAAATATATTCTAAACCTTTCCTGTGTTTAACACTTCTTGTTGAGTGACCTTGCATACAGAGGAAGTCTACACCAGGCTTTTTATAACTTCAAAATTAGGTGACACCACCCCTTTAAGTCTAGTGTCCTAAAAACCTTTAAATTAAAGGCACACAGGCATATATGACTGGACTTGAGTAAGGAATAGTACTGTTCTAACACATCAGCCATATTACCTTGGTATGAGAGTTGTCAGTGTTTCATTAATAAATATCCATTGAATCTACTGTGTTTATTTGAGCTGCATTTCATTGCACTAAACCATGTAGTTAAATAATATGAAAACAGCTTTGTCCTTTGGCCATCCTCGTCACCTGAAAAAATGGCTTTAGTTTTATTTCAGGCTGGTAGCATATACCCTCTACACTATTGTTAAATTGTTAAATATTTGTTAGCTTTCTAGATATTGCAGCATCCAAATTGTTGATTCACTATGGAGCATGGACTCTATGCTCTTATTCGTTAGTGTTGCTCTGAAACCCTAATGTCTGCTTGGCCTAAGCAGCAACTATAATTATAGCTTATTAGTGTCTGCTTCTGACATACATGCCCTTTTTCTGTCTTGCAGCTTGTCAGAACGGTTTCAGATTTATTTCGACTTCTTCCATTTTCTGTGTTCATTATTGTACCATTCATGGAGTTCCTGCTGCCGGTAGCCTTGAAGTTGTTTCCAAACATGCTACCATCTACATTTCAAACAACGTCCGAGAAGGTAATTTTTTTCACCAAGCTTTCTAGTTTTATTTTCTGAGAGTGTGGCAAGTGTACCACAAGTGCACTCCTTAGTCTAATAATAGTTTTATAAAAAGTAGATTAGCTACAATGTTCAGTTTGCTTCCAGCATCAATCGTGCAGCTGGAAAATGTGATGCGTCATCTGTATAGATGTACATCACAGAAGCCGAGATCTTTCATCTTTAGAACGTGCACATGGGCTACATATAACATTTACATAGCTCCAATTGATCATTATACATTTGTAATCGTCTTACTGCAATAGTGCTGTAGGAGGTTGATACTTAAGTACTGCATGCTCTTGTATCAGAGGGTAAATATCGTGCATTGGTTATGAATGCAGTTGTTGTATAGCTTTCTTTTATTTCTTCAGGATGCAAAAGTCAAGAAGGAACTTAAGGTCAAACTTGAAATGGCCAAGTTTTTACAACACACCTTGGATGAAATGGCTGTGAAAAAACGTGGAGAGGCCCATTCCCACAATGCAAAGGAATTCGCAGAGTTTTGTGAAAAGGTTTGTAATTTTGCCTTTTTTTTTGTCTTGCCTTTTTTCAATACAGCAATGCTAAATAGTCATGATATGAAAGTGTATATATTTTTCCAATCCAGTTTATGGTACCTGCCATAGTATACTGTGTCAGGTTCAAGTATCAGTGATGGATGCCCCGCCGCGGTGGTCTAGTGGCTGCTGACCCGCAAGTTGCGGGATCGAATCCTGGCTGCGGCGCCTGCATTTTCGATGGAAGCGAAAATGCTGTAGGCTCAAATTTTGGTGCACGTTAAAGAACCCCAGGTGGTCAAAATCTCCAGAGTCCTCCACTACGGCATCTCTCAATCATATGATGATTTTGGGACGTTAATCAAAGTATCAGTTATGGTGGTTGTTAGTGAGCCCTTTACTGGAATTCAAGGCAGTGTAGAAAGCTAACAAGCCATCTAGAAGACACAAAGATCGGCAAGCTTGTGCAAGACAGTGCAGTCACAGTATAAGCAGTAAAAGTCCCTAGCAGGCCACCTAAAACTGTTTCAGGGTGCATGTGGAAATACTGATCGTGAAAAGCAGTCACTTAATGCTCATACATTTGTCTAAATGCAGTCTCTGCACTGCTGTCAATGCTATGGAAGTGTACTGCATTAGCTGAGCTCTAGAGAAAGCTATGGCCCAGCTACTGATGTTCAGTTGTGACACAGCCCATGGAACAGGGAGTACGGGCGGGGGGGGGGGGGGGGGGGGGCAGCCGTATTGTGCTACACTACCTCTTCAAATTTTTTTTTTTTTTTTTTTTTCAATGTGAGTGCTCACTCCCCTCAACGGTAGCCGTCAGTCCTCCTTAGTTCAGGGAGTGGTCATGATATGACACCACTTAAAGGGTGCAGCAACCTGTGTCACACGTGAGCGCGAGCGTTTTCCCAAGGAAATGCAATAGATGTGCTTTCTCTCTCCAATTTTTCAATATCATGTGTCTGTCAGATTTGTTCCTCTGTGCTTCATCTTTATGGCTCGAAGCAATGCCGCTGCCTCACAGCGCTCGTGTGGCACCTTTTAGAGGTGTAACATGCAGCAGAGTCGCAGTGACGCCTTTTCCATAGATTGCCCACATAGCACCAATAACGGATCTACGCTATCTCAAAACACCTTGTCCCTGAGCCAGCGTGACCGCCAACATAGTGAATATGAAGGAGGCAAGATTACGCCCCATGGATCTGTACGCAACTTAAGAAAAGATTACTTCATTAGATTTTCATCTTGAGGCGCCACATAAACGATTCTCTCCCCCCCATGAATGCAAAGCACACACGAAGGCTAGGTGATGGGCAAGAGTGGAAGAGGGTTGTGAACGGCTGGATCGGGCGCATCTGACTGGCATTGAAAAAATAGAGAAGGCGCTGGCCACTCATTACATGATTCAAAGATGTGCCAAAAGCCAGGTAGCTTTATGGTTATAAAAGATTTACATCAACTTAACAAAAATATAACAAATTAACATAAGCGTTTCGCCACCTATGTGCGTGGCATCCTCAGTATACACCGACACCAAATGAGCGGAGGCCGCCCAGTCGTCTGCTAGTCACATATGTCCCCGTAAATGTCTGATAGAGGGCAGCAGTTTGTTGCAACGGATGAACCACGATTCCAAGACTTCTCTCTTGCTCCACCTTTGTTCCCGAGCCAGTATTATCGCATTGTTTAAAGTCAGAATGTCCCTGTAAATGTCTGATAGAGGGCGGCAGTTGTTATTTTATGCCAGTTTGTTGCAACGGATGAACCACGATTCCAAGACTTCTCTTTTCCTCCACCTTTGTTCCCGAGCCAGTATTATCGCATTGTTTAAAGTCGGAAGGATGCCCGGTTGTCCAGCACTGTTCAACGTGCTCTGTCTTAGAAGGCGTGACATGGATGGCTTTAACTAGGTCCTCTTTGTGTTCCCTGAGTTTCGTTGATCTTTTCCTGCCTGTTCCACTAATAAAAGTAGCATCACAATTCCCACATGCTGCTTCGGAAACGACTCCGCTTTCATCGCTCGCATGTGTGCTTTCTTTAGGCTGAGCACACATGTGTCCTAAGGTGCGTTGAGACTTAAAGGCAATTTCTATGCCCAGCGGATGCAAGGCTCCCTGAACAGAGACAGATATACCTTTAACATAAGGAATAGACACAATAGATGTCATATCTCGTGGTGCACTTTTTGTTTATTTTCGCATGCATGTCCCTGTCTGATTAGAGCACCCCGCATCACGACATGACAAGAAAGTCCTCATGACAGACCATTTGTGTTTCGTAGGGTGATCGCAAAACGGTTATGTATAATCTTGTAATATTTATAAGTCAGAGATATTTTATAATCATTATACAGTTCATGGGTCATGAAATCTAATGTTAAATTGCACAACCACTTTTACACCTGTCTGGTTGAGCATATGGATGTGTTATGTATCAGAAGGCTTGTGCTACTCACGATGATAAATGTTGTATAGCCATTTATAATTTGCGGGCTCCTTTAAAGCCCATGCAAATTACGCAGATTGCATGCTAGGCAGCTGGTGCCATAGTGTGAAACTTGGATGCATTTACAACAATGGTGCCAAGCACGTTACTCCTTGCTTGTTCGCGTGATAGGACTCCCCTTTAGTGTACTTGTTAAAAAAAGTCGCATACATAGGTGTGGCTAATTGGTATGGCAGTTGACTCTGACAAGCAGTGCGTGGGTTTAATTCTGGTGGAAATGCGCTATTTTTTTCTCATTGTGCCCAATAGTTGCAGTGGACACTTGTAATGGCTGGGGCAGGTGACATTGCTACCAAAGCTGGCTTATTTGAGCTTATGTCGTAAGAACTTGTAAGAATAGCATTTGAATGAATGAAAAGGTGCTTTCAAACAGCTATCAAGTATTTTCAGATAATGCAAAAAGAACACTTATGATAGTATTATATTTTATTTATTGTTTTTAAATTTTAAACCTACATTTTATTGAAACTTCATGTGTTGCCGACTTATTTTAAGCACAGGCCGCTCCAATCGCCTAGTGGTTATGGTGCTTGGCTGCTGACCCGAAAGACGTAGACTAAATCCTAGCAGTCGCATTTTGATGGAGGCGAAACGCTAGAGGCCGAAGTGTGGTGTGATGCCAGTGCACATGAAAAAAACAGGTGGTCAAAATTGTTCGGCGCCCTCCACCGTGGTGTCCCGCATAGCTTGAGTTACATTTAAATGTAAGACTTCTACAAACTAAAACTAACTTACTTAAGCACATATTAAGAAGCACTACACGTCTAAACAAATAAATTCATTTTTAGTGCACTCCACCTGCATGTTAATCAACATGTCAACATCATGGCTGATAGCAATAGCATCAGTATATAACCATCTTTTTTTTTCTGCATTTCCTAAATATATCAGCTTGTAATCTGTGTGGATTGGTGTTGAATTACTAATATGCCATAACGTGTGCAATGTGACTCTAAGATTTAGGTTCTTTTTAATGTGTCTTCAAGAGGACGTCGAATGGACCAGATACACATTAGTGGCAACAAGATAGCACTTTTGTGTGCATACAAGAGGGATCTGGTGAGAAAAGTTATATAATGTCCAGTTAGAAAGGATTATATTGTTGACTGAATAGGAACATCGTGATGGCATATGTTGGAATGACAAATGTCATTTTCTTCTGGAGTAGTAAGTTGGGAGAAATAGCTTGGCAGCACAGTGAAAGAACTCGCAAAGAGTTTTTAAGAAGGACATTTTCTTATTCAAATAATTATGCTATTAGCCAGCAGCCATACCGCATCTCTGTTCTGCATCCTATCTCAGATCCCATTGACACATGACATGCTAGTTACTATGGTGAGCCAAGTTACAAATACAGTTCCAGCTAGATATCTGGGTGAGATGTACTGGTAAATTCTGAGCCTATCTTTGTGAAAAACATTTAAATACAGTGAATCTCTAGAAACACTTCCAGTCAGCTGTGTAAAAAAAATGGTTAGTTCCTTCATACAACTGTAAAATGATTTTTTCTGTGTATCTTCAAGCAATCCGTCGGAAAGCTTGGAAGAGTCAATAAATTTGAACTTGTCTAGAAAATTCAGGGAATAGCCATGTAATTTCTAAAAAACCTTGCAAGGTCATGTAAACTAATGGCAGTCTGTGCGACTGTCACAAAAATAATCATTACCATTTATCAGAGCTTAAAAAGTTGCTCCTTCGACTGCAACTACCGTGAACAGTTAAGCAGAAGTTTAAAAAAGAAAAAAGTGGGCAGTGCGTAACTGTCGCTTCTACAGATAGCGCAACACATCTCGCTTTTCAAGCACAACATTACTCACTACTATATAATTTTATGCATGTTCATCTTGGCCACGATCATAGATTGACTCGAAGGCCTTCTGGTTGGGCTAGAAGTGCCATCACTTGAGGCTTGCCAGGCGATGTCAAGCTTATTCATTGGCACGCAACAGCAAATGTCCTCAACTACACAGTCAATGCTGATAGCTTGCGTTCAAGGGCAGCACGGGACAACAAGAGTGAAAAGTGGCATTTCAGTTTCTTAAGATTGTGTAATTAAATCTGTGACTACTCTTAAGCATCACGTTTATAAAAGAGCCCTTTAATAAAGAGAACATGCTGGCATCCGTGATTCTTTTATGGAATTGAAGAAGTTGTTGCCTCCTTTTATGACTATGGTGCGGCCCCTTCGACTGTTGAGGGTCTGACAGATTTCTCTCTGCAGCCACACATTCATTAGTGCTTTAAGCACAACCCTTCAGCTTTCATTACAGGTGTTGGTGGATTTGCGTTGCACTCCATGCGTCAAAACCCAGAGAAATAAAATGCAAACATGTGTGCCCATCATGTGCAAGAAAGGAAGTCTCACAGTACAACTGTTTTTTGAATGTTGTCATTGGTCATATGGGCGAGGTCCAGAGAATGCGGCGTAGAGATTATTCTTTGTTTTTTTTTTACCTAAAAAGGATATTTTAGGGGTGCACATTTTATGTGGGGGACACAAATCAGTAGTACAGTAGATAATCATAATCCAGGTCGGATCAAATACTATTCAATCAAATTCACATCCTAAGTTGTCTAAGCTGCAGCCAATTTGCTATTCCTCTTTCGAGTCAGTCACAATGCCTCCTTTGAAGGAGTGTTCATTTAGCTCTCATTGTGTGAACATGGAAATATTCTAGCGCCTGTTATAGATTAGAGCAGTGCTGAATGACACTAGTAAGGCTCAGTGCCCAGCATGCCACAAGACTTTCTTACTCATCAATAAGGGCATCATTGCTGTCTCCAGTCACACTGTGAACAAGAAACACCTAGCTGCTATGAGCTTGGCACAAATTGCTTCTCAGATGAACCTGCGCACGGTGTTTAGTGTTACACTCAACTTAGTGCAAAATAAAAAAAACGACGACCAAGGTGAAATACACAAAAGTTGAAAAGACGTTTCGGCTCCCCACACGGGAGCCTTGTTCACAGTGACCGCAAATGGAATAGTGCGCTTTTCTTATGCACGTTTCATCTCGTGTTGCAGACATCGCGCGTACACGGGGGGGAGTGTCCCAATATTTCTGTTCAACGTATGCGCAGTAGTTCGAATGGCCAGAGATTCCATGTGCAATCGGGGTAACAACTTTCTTTCTGTGGCATTGATAAAGGCTTTACCCCAGTCGATAGCGTGCCCAGTAGACGCAACATGCTCTGCGAGGGCATTAGATGCTACTTTCTTGTTCTTGACGTCATTAAAATGTTCCCGGAGCCTTCTTTTGTAATTGCCCGTTTCGCCAATGTATTCGTATTCACAGTCTTTGCAAGGAATTTTATATACACCACGCCGGGAAAATCATGTCTGTCCAACTTATCTTTGACATTTGTGAGACGGCCTCGGAGCTTTCGTGTCGGAACGTGAACCACTTGGACATCGTAGCCGCGCAACACCCGAGCGAGGGTCTCGCTGAAGCCTGGGACGTAAGGCACCGATGCGCGTTTTCTTGTAGCAATGGTGTGTGACAGATCCGGGCGCTGCAGTTGTTGCTGCACCGAGTTCATGTAGGTAAGCGGGTATCTGCAAGTAGCCAGCTGTGACAATGGATCAGCGCCAGCTATGTATGGACTTCCTAAGATTCACAAGACAAGTGTCCCAATCCATCTGATTGTCGATTCTACAAGGTAGCCTCTGAACAAGCTTTCGGCTTACCTACACAGGACCCTCTCGCCGCTCGTTGGAAAAAGTGAAACGCACTTAAGGAATTCCACTGATTTCATTGATAAGGTATGCGACATGGTACTAGATGACAATGATGTTCTAGCGTCTTTCGATGTACGGTCGCTTTTTACAAGTGTACCTGTTAGTCTGGCAAATGATGTGTGCAAGGCAGCCCTTGAGTCAGACCAATCATTGTCGAACAGAACGCCCATCGATGTTCCTGATCTGTTACAGTTGCTTCAGTTCTGCTTAGAGAACACCTACTTTATATTCAGGAGCAAATACTACAAGCAGGTGCATGGCACTGCAATGGGATCTTCTGTGTCCGTCACTGTCGCAAACCTTACCATGGAGGCTGTTGAAAACCGGGCTCTCACTTCATTTACTGCCCCGCCCAAGATTTTCCTTCAGTATGTGGATGATTGTTTCTGTGTTTTGCAACGGGATGCCCTGCCAGTATTCTTGGAACAGCTAAATTCTGTGGAGGCCGCGATACAGTTTACCGTGGAAAAAGAATCAAACGGCTGTCTTCCTTTCCTTGATGTTCTCGTGAAACGAGACGGTAGGCACCTGATTTTCAGCGTCTACAGAAAAGAAACACCGCTCGTTTTCTAAGCTTCGATTCTGTGCACCCATCCTGCCATAAACGTTGTGTTGTGTCTACACTCATAAAGCGCGCTTGGAGGATTTGTTCTAAAGAAGAAGACGCAGTAGAAGATGTAGAGTCCGTTCGACGGGAGCTGGCTACTTGCAGATACTCGCTTTTCTACATGAACTCAGTGCAGCGACAACTGCACCGCTTGGCTCTGTCACACACCATTACTACAAGAAAACGTGCATCGGTGCCTTACGTCCCAGGCTTCAGCAAGACCCTCGCTCGGGTATTGCGCGGCTACGATGTCCAAGTGGCTCACGTTCCGACACGAAAGCTCCGAGGCCGTCTCACAAATGTCAAAGATAAGTTGGACGGACATGATTTTCCCGGCATGGTGTATAAAATTTCTTGCAAAGACTGTGAATAGGGATACATTGGTGAAACAGGCAATTACAAAAGAAGGCTCCGGGAACATTTTATTGAGGTCAAGAACAAAAAAGTAGCTTCTAATGCCCTCGCAGAACATGTTGCGTCTACTGGGCACGCTATCCACTGAGATAAAGTCTGCATCATCATAAAGTCTGCAGCTGCTATGGTTCTCTCATTTTTGTGCTTAAAAGTTGATTGAGCTATATAATCATATTGTGTCCTGTGTGAAAGCTCCGACTCCAAGTTAGAGATGTGCTTCAACAATGGAAAAGTTTTTTTTTTCTTTTTTAGATCAGAGAGTCTGGAGAAGATGCCTCAAATGAAGAGATTTTGAAGTTTTCAAAGTTGTTTGAAGACGAAATTACTCTGGACAGTCTCACGCGACCTCAGCTCACTGCACTCTGCCGGCTTCTGGAACTACAGCCCATTGGCACAAACAACTTCCTCCGGTTTCAGCTGCGCATGAAGCTGCGAAGCCTGAAAGCTGATGACCAGGTGAGCTAGTGGACCACTTTAACAAGCTGCAGATGATTGCTCTCTTTCTAGAATGTAAAGACTGAATTTAATTGTCTCCACTTCTACAACTACTTTTTACTAACCTCCCTGAAATATTTGCAATCCTTGTTTTTAGCAAAAGTAATACTCGCACATGTTTTCTAAATGTTGAAGTAGCTTTAGTGATGATTTGCCTGTGTTGTGAGAATTCTCGAACGCAATTTACCGATTTATTTCAAATATCTGCAAGGCATAGCAAACAATTACACATTTAGAATGATAGCTATCTATTGTTTTTTTTTTACTTTTACTTGCTCTCATAATATGTTTAGGCCTATCTTTTTACCTGAGCCTGTTGGGCCTTACTTATGTAATTAAATTTTGTATCATCTTGAGTGAGCCTGCTTATCCATTGGTGTTATACAGCAAAATCTTGGTGATACAATTACAGTTGATGCAAGTTTCATGATGATAAGAATTTTAAGGTGGCTTTGGATGAACTACATTATAGAAAATACGCCGTGATTCGGTGTTATACGAATGATTTTCCCAGTAACCGAGGATGATATGAGCGCACGATTGATTGCTGCACGGGAACGGCGCAACGCGGCTTGTCTGTAGGAGGAAGGCACGTTCACACTTGGCCTCAAAGCGAGTATGCGCGGCAAAACTCGCGCGGATTTCTCTCACTTGGTCGCAAGCGACTGGAAAACCACGCCTTAAAGCAGACACTGAAAAATCGGTCTGAGACCAATTTTTCCGTCACGCAATAGCAGATCGCCTTTTTGCTACATGGCTTTGGCTACACCGGCTGCAGCAGCTCTCAAACCACGTGATGTAAACGAGCTGCAAATTCAACATGGCAGCATAGGCATCGGCGGTGGCTCGCCTCAGCGCAATCGCAAAGTATTCGCGCAGCACGACAAAGCACACGGCCTTGGCAAAGAAGCGTTCATCAAGAGCCTGGTTTGGATTATGGTCTCTGTGAAGACCGGAACTAGAAGGTGTAGCAGCAGTGAGTCTGTTTACCCTAATATGTCTCGCTTTTGCACTGCCCGCTGGGTTCGTTGCCGCTGCCAATGTGTCTGCTCGAGTCGTTTCTGCTGGCGTATCTCCCGAAACGTGTGTACAGGTGTACGTTGTTTCTTTTCAGTGCTTTTCATGCATAACTACAACTCTGTATGAATTTTAATGCCCCGAAAACGGGCTAAATAAAATAGATTCTCAAGCGGCGGCTGTAGGTGTGTACATTTTTTATGGGCTTTGCCGCCGCTCTGTCATTTTTGCTTGAATTCTCCTTTGTAAGTGGTTTTAGTAGCAGCTTTGGCATTTTCGCTTGAATTCTCTCATGTGAATGATCTTTTTCGTGTCGACCTCGTGACGCATTCTTTCGGCCGCTTCAGCGGTGAAGGGAGTGAATTTTTAGTAAGTTTTGCCCTTTCCCTCCCTTTGATGCCGAGTGTGAATGCACTTTAAGCGCCAGCAGCATGAGTGAGGAAACCATGGAACTTTATTGAGAGGCAGTGAAAGCAGGAAAATTCAAAAGAACATCATGGGCTCTTATTCAGAAAGAAGTAGTTGACCCCAATAAAGTTTTTACTCATCCTCATGATCAGCTTTAATTTGTTTTTGGTTCATACAAATTCAAGATGATACAAATATTTTGCATGTTCCCTTCGAATTGTATCATAGATTCTACTGTATATACAGGCTATCACTCGGGAACGTTTAGCGACACTCACCACATAATGCATTCTCAAGCGAGGTTGTTCTGTGAGATCACACTGCTAGTTTCAGTATCAGTGGCTGAAAAAAGAAATATTGGAAGCTGTGTTTGTAGTATATTTGAACTATTGTTTTTGTTGTTGGGTTGGTCATCTAATGAATGACACCAGACTACAGAAATTATTTTTCTTGCTCTCAGGCCATTTATGGCCATGGTTTTCAGTGGCGCACCCCTGTCCATGCCATTTTATGGTCTCAATGTTTACAGCTGAACAAACACTGTCATTCGTAGCTTGGTCCTTTATGATCAATTATGTTGATGCAGTGCCAGTAGTTAAGTTCATTTAAATTTATCCAACATTATTTTCGTAGTATGGCACACTGCTACTATAACAGACATGTAGAAATTGGTTCGTTAGTGACTTCATCTACTTGATTAGTTGTTATATTCATCGCTCATTTATTGCAACCTGTACAAGTAGCTGTGTGGTCTATTTTGTTGCATCTATACTAGCATTGGTGCAGACAGGAGTGCACCTAACCACACCTGTCCTACCAAACTTTAGGAATGTTTTTTTAGTATTCTTTTTCTAAAATTGCCAACTTTTCCTTTTCTCTGTTTGAGTTTCTTTAATGGAGACATTGTTGCAATCTATTAAGTTAAGCAATGCAATTCTTGATGTGAAGACAGATATGTCAGTTTTTATAACCAAATGCCTACAGAGGACCATGTATTTTTGTGTCAATATAATAAAGCATGTTGTTTGATTATTTCAGGACAATGAAGTTTCACTTCTATTGCAGAGGAATTTAAAGCAATAAATTGAAACTTCTTCTGGTTCTAGCTGGCATGCAGTTTACTTATGTGTGGTTTTTGTGTGTGCATCATCGTACAAATCGGAGCAGCTGCCGAAAGAGAGCAATGTGTTTTCTTGGTAGCGGCGGCAGGAAAAGTGCACACTTTGGTGCCCTTCTCACGTTCGGAGTGGCAGTAGTGTGCAAAGCATGCGGCTTTAGCGTGGCATTTAGGAATTCTGACGCATTGTAATTCGCACTATTCAACTACCCCAATAGCGAAGGTGGGCATAGTCATATTCTGCACAGCGTGGCTCGTGTGTCAATGTCTGATTTGGCGTTTTTGTTATCGCCTTGTGTCAGTTTGCAAGTATGAGCAACAAAGATGTGGTTGCAGTAAATGCAACAAGCCCCGAGTTTTCTTCCAACTGATAAGAATTGTACAGGGAATCGATGTCGCCAATGAGGCTGATATCTTGCAAACTACCTTGATTCGTGAGAGAAGACATCAGCATTAGTTTGGGGATGTTGCAAAGCTTGCTCTGCATGAATCTGAACTTAAAAGAAGCTATTGTAGCTTTTTGGATAATTTATTACATTCCCAGTTAAATCAGTCTGAATTTAGCTACAGGTGCATTTACCACAAATTAGTTATTACACCCTCCCTTGTGGACATGGGGTGCTGTTCTCTTTCCCGATTTTTTGCTTGACATGTGATGTGGGGTCTTGTACAAAGGACTTTCTCCAGTACTGCTTTAAGGAGGCAGACTGGTCTTAGACATTTTTTGTTTATTTCTTCAGTGTGCTTGATCAAACTGCACAGGATTATGCAGTTTTTTCTGCTGATTTCAAATATTTAATTAGTTTTTCTGTAACTCATCTTGTTCCTGAGATAACTTATATTCATTCCCTATTGTTTAAGGCCGCCATAGAAAAAAAAGTGCTTATTAAAAGTGATATTTAAGATATTTTTTTTTTTATTTATTCATACCGTCAGCCCAAGGGCCAAGACAGGAGTTGCCGTTACATATCTGGCATGTACAAAGAACATATGTGGAAACAAGTTTCACACTGTACGCTCAAGACGCACTCTATATGGAAATAACAAAACGAAAACGCAAAACTATATCGGAATACATCCCGCATAGGTCACGGATAAAAGAAACATGTTCGAATACATCTCGTACATGCCAACATGGACTGACTATAGAGTGAAAGTATGCAAGAGTTTTTTTTTTTGTTGTTGTTGTTTTTAGGCCTTTCTTGGTTATTTTACAGTGAAATGAACTATTCATTTTCAAAAGCAGTTGGAATTGTGTTACAATTCTGATGTGTAATTAATCATGGGCTCTAAGTTCTGCTTCCATACTTGCATTCTACACACATACAAGTTTCCATTGCAAAAAGAATTATTTTTGTACCTGCCCTAGCTGCCGAGATATTGAGGCCTCAAAATTGAACAGTCGTAAATTTACTTTTTTGAGAAAAATGAAAAAAAACTGAAAACACAGCTTTCTCAAAAAGCAACAATCATGGTGCGCATGTTTTCCAATTCTCATAAAGGTGCTCATAAATTCGCAGCAGAGCTTCTAACACAGGTGCCGGTCAGTTATAAAGAATCCTCGAAGTCGTTTCCCCATTTTTTCACAGGTTCTGCATGTTACCAGCCCCAAGAATCTGGACAGTTAAAATAATATTACAAAAAATTACCACTTCCTGGTCTGTGAAAATTTGCACAGAGATAGAAAAATACTTGCAGAAACCAAATATGTTAATTTTAAAAAATGAATTTTTTTGTCACTTTTTGGTTAAAAAGACCAGTCTGCCCCCTTAAATCATTGCAATCGGATTCTGGGTTCAACAAAACTAATTTTTAAGTCATTGAGGTTTTTGCGTCCAGTCGTATTGAAGCGTTATTGCGGCATTCTCACTATAAAATGAATGCATTGAGAACCATACTTCACATTCAAAGCTGAATTTCAATTTAACGAAGCTTCAATATAATGAAGTAAACTGCCAATTTTACTGACTTCATTATATTGAGGTTTAACTGTAGTTACTGCTTTGTAGATTATACTCTAGACTCCTTTTAAATTAAACCTGAAGGAACCAGAAAAAAGGTTTTCGTTTAACAGGCGTTATGTTTAGGAAGAGACAAACGGGTGCAGAATGCAAGTATGAAACCAGTCGTACTACTAGAGGTAGTAGAAGCAGCTGTTTTATTCAAGCAGCAATTTCGTTCAAGAGAGTTTCGTTTACTGAGAGTCTACTGTACATGTTGCGAATGGTTGTGTCTACAGATGATTCAAAAAGAAGGCATTGACTCCTTGACGGTGGCAGAGCTGCAAGCAGCTTCTCGAGCAAGAGGCATGCGAGCCATGGGTTTACCCGAGTCGAAACTTCGTTATCAGCTGGCCCAGTGGCTAGACCTCAGCCTAAACGAGAACATCCCTCCTTCACTGCTGCTGCTGTCACGGGCTATGTTGCTGTCTGAGGCCTTACCTCCGACAGAACAACTCAAGGCCACTATTTCTACTTTACCCAAGGAAGCGGTAAGTACCCTAGCATCTCGAATAATATGGCCATCACATGAAAACGGCACACAAGTAAAAGAAAGCATGCAAAGATACACACATGCAGCACTTCGTGGGCCTTATTTTGACTGTAGGCCATTTTGTACTACTTCTAGATTGTTCACAATGTCATACCAACAAGCCCACATCACCACACTTGTCGAGCCCTCTATCATGTACTTTCTAAATACAGTCAAACCCCGCTACAACGAAACTGAAGGGGCGCGGAAAAAGTTTCGTTGAAACGAAAATTTCGTTGTAGTGAAATCGAAAAATCGATCTGAACTAGCAAAACAAAGAAACCTTTATTCTCAAAATTGAAAAAGTGTCGGCTGCTTTTTATTCTATACCAGCTGCGTCATGACGCGATTCTCACCCATGCATAGCCAGGCCATGGTGAAAAGCACGCTAAACAATGACCACAACCACTTTCGTGAACAAACCAAACAGTTGCATTAACACCAGCAGCTGTCCGTCGTCAAAATGCCAAGATAGCAGCAGGGTATCGTGGAGTGGTGACTTTTGCCTTATTTTATGCCATTCTTATTTTATGCCATCCATCACTCGCGGCTAGCTGATTTTGTTGATAAGGCAAACGAACAGCCACTCTGATTAGTTAACACACTGGCCAAGCGAGAACAAAATGATAAGCATTGGAATCGGAAAAGGCATTGTTCTGCTGATGCACCCAGCGGCTGCACAAAGGAAACCATGAACTAAGCAACTGAGCTTCAGCTTTGGACCGTCTGTGGCTATACAGTAAACCTAATCTTTAACAATTTGATGCATTTTCAGAATCTGAAAATATGTCCACGAAGTCTAAAACATGCGTTAGCACCATCATAAACCGCCGCTGTTCAGCAAGCATGGGCGCAGCCATTGCTCGATAGCGATGGCAATCAGGCTGCCCTGCTTTTGCCAGGGACAAAAGCAGGGCAGTTTCATTGCCATCGCTATCGAGCACTGGTGGCGCCCATGCTTGCTGAAGAGCAGTAGTTTTTGGTTGAGCGAATGCGTGTTTTAGACTTCGTCAACGTATTTTCAGGTTCTGAAAATGCATCAAAATGTTAAAAATTGGGTTTACTGGATAGTAATAAATTTCTGAGCCTGGAATCGCATCGTGAAATTTCGTTGAAGTGGGACGGCAGAAGAAAAAGTGTTTGTTGTGGCGACAATATTTATGCATTGAACCCTATGGACTGGTGACGGGGAACCGCGAATTTTTCGTTCAAGCGGCGTTCGTTGTAGCGGAGTTTGACTGTAATTCTGCACAATGTTCGCTATGCACTTTGCTGCTTTGCTTGAAATTCTGTGAGTAACGGTACTGCTTCATTCCATCCCACTGGAAGAAAAATTTTGAGCAAGACAAGAGGAGGAGCACTCGTTTTTCCTAATGGCTTACCTTACAGGCGTATTTCTTAAGTTGTATGATTTTGACAAATACATTTTCTGCATTGTTATTCGGCTTTCTTTACAGGTTACGGAAGCCAAGTACAAGATTGGTGAACGTGAAGGAAAAGTGGACAATCGTACTAAAATTGAGATCATCAAACAAGAAGAAGCAGCTATTCAGAAGGAAAAAGAAGAAATTGCAGTCGAAAGTGAAGTGCGTAAATTCTTTTCATATTACTTTCGCTGCATCTGTGTGCGTCTTATGTGGTGTGCATGGAGTTTACAAGTGGACTGTGTTCTCTTGTGTTATTATGTCGTTAACACAAATTGTGAAATTTCTGTTGGTGGTTATCATGCATTTTTTCGTTAAACGTGTTTGCTCATTCTAATATGAGACCTCACAAGGTGTGCAGACTTGGCCTCTGAAACTACACTTTTTCAAGAATAAGGAAGATAATGTTTAAAGAAGAGAAAAGTGGAGAGGCCTTCCTTGAAAGCAGGTTTCTAGCCTGCTGCTCCTGACAGTGGTAAGGGGAAAAGGGTGAGAAAGAGAAAAAGGGAAGTGTGATGACAGGTGACTAAGGTATAGTAAAATCACTGTACACACTGTCCTACATAGAAACAGGTACTGCACGTGAAAGTTTTCATACCATAGCACATGCTCTAAAGACGAGCATGTAAACCTGTCTCACCTATAAGCTGTAATGGGCATTTTAAAGTGCATTGGGTATGGCCTACATGTCCCCAAGCACCAACAGCATCTTTTCCAGAAAGGGTCTGGAGTCCAGGCATTCTCTGACATACTGAAGTGACCGCCTAGCAGTTGCGTATTGAGGGCACATGCACAAGATGTGGGGAATAGTATGACGTGTCGCATACACTGCAGTTAGAGTATGGCTCCTGTTTAATATTACACTGGTATTGTTGTGTATATGCAGCACCCAGCTGTAGTCCATGCAGTAGTGTTTTCTGGTCTCTCCTTAGCCGGCATGGAAGCCGAAAAGCAGGAGAGTCAAGTATGTGAACATGAAAAATAGAAAATATCAGCCAATAATGAATGCCCCTCAGTACTTCCCTGCAATTTTAAATGCAAAAAGGGGGGTGCCATACAAAGCACAGACTAAAGAAGAGAACAGTGAAAGGTGCGCCTGTGTCGTTCTCTTCTTTAGTTCCTGTTCTGTACTGCGCCCCTCTTTTGCACTTACCGTAAGATGAACCAACTATGCCAAATGGCTGTTTTGCTTACTTCACTGCCAGCTGCAGGCCTCAAATTTACTGTGTTCTTACTGACAGATAGGACTGCATGCTCTAGCTCAAATGCTCGCAGCCTGCCCAGTTCAACCAGAGGCTTGTCAAAATTGAATTTCTTTTTTTGCAGTAGAGGTCACTATCCTCGAATCATAAGTGAAAGTTCTAACTGAACCACCAAAGCATTTTTACATAAGAATACTTACAAAAAAAGAACAGGGAAAACTGAGTGCACTGATGGTCACTTGTGAGGTTATTGGGTCTTATTGATGCAAGTGTGGGACGCCTGAAATACAATGATGACATCAATTTGGCAACAGGATTTCAACACGTGTGATGCTAAGGGTATAAAAAAATAATTGTTCCTGGAGCACTATTACAGATAATAGTGTGTGGAAAACTGGTGGCACTCTAAAGAAAAGTTGTTCTATTGAAAGTTGCTCAGTTCATACACAAGGGAGCAAAGGCATCACTATGCTTTGGAAAAGAAACATTATCTGGCATTGCTGCCTTATGCCCTTTTCTAAAGTGTGCGTGAATTTGCACACTTGATTTTTGTCTACTTCACTGACCCATCTTGACTTGCACCCTTGTTAAACTTGCTAATATTTACCAACGATTGTAACAATATGTTCTACATATTGAAAATAAAATACTTTTTCCAACCTATAGCAGAGATCTGGCAGTGACTGCCTTTAAGTCTGCTGGTATTCACCCACACAAGATGCCATGTACATGATCCATAACAAAATTTATGTAGATTAGAGTATAAGCAAACCGAAAGAGTTGTGGGATTTAATGTGAATGGCACAATCAATAACGCACCAGAAGCATCTGTGACGAAAGGTATTTGTCAAATCACTCCTTCATTCAGTACATCTAGAGCAATTGTAACTGCAGGATAACCAATCCACTGTAAAATAATTGTCTTTACTCCAATATTGGCTAGAAAAAGCTTGTGAATATGTTACTGCCTGTGCACAAGCATTGAATACAACATGTTCACTCTGTATTTTGACTAGAGCTGTGCGAATAGCAAAATTCTGGGTGGGAAGCGAATTGAAATATTGAAGTATTAATATTGAAGTATACTGTCACCAACTGGCCCAGCTTTCAGTCCTTCTCTGAAGACAGTACTGATCAGTTGGGATTCGTTTCTCATTGTGTGCATTTTTTCCTATTTAATATTATTTTTGAATCAGCTGGGCATTTCTACAACCAGTTGCACTGCAGGATTGTCTCAGGAACATACAAAGTTTTCAAAAAGAAACCGAACTTTTTCCATAACACCTTTAGTACTCGTCGTACAACCATTTATGCATTTCCCTCCGGAAACAACTACTCTCTGCTAGAAGTACACTGTTTTCATTGTTTCTTCCATTTTTGGAAAGCCTCCTGGAACATACTATCTGGAATGGCCCCGGTTCTTTTCTTGCATTATCCTGGATCTCCTCTATAATTTGGAAATGGCATCCTTTCAATTTAGTTTATGTTCAGGATAGATTAAATAGAAAAAGTTTCATGGCATTATTCTAATGTATAATGCCCACTTCGTCAGCAACTTCTCAAACTGTCTAGCGAAAATTTCCTCGAATCACACCACAAATTCTTGACGTGGTCTTCATCTGTTGTTGTGGAATGTCGTCCAGGCATTGGACCGTCACCGAACGGCATTCCACCATGGTCAGAATGCTTGAGCCACTCACATCACTGCGTGCGATTCACCGTCTTCCCTGTACTAAGCAACTGAAATGTCTAAAGCATCTGAAATTGCTAAGCAACTGAAATGTCTCTTTGAAAGTTTTCTAAAGTTTGTAGTAGAACTTCACACAGACACGTAATTCTTCTAGCTTTCATTGTCATTTTGGTCAGTGATCGAAGTGCTGCTCCAAACTGCTCTAAAAGAGAAATGCTGCTCCAAAGTGTAATATTTGTTAATAACTGCACCAAACCTCCTCTGAAATGGTGTTGGGAAAACTAAAAACAATGAAGTTAAACCATGTGGCCATCTAGTGAGCCTAAATGAAAACAAAAACAAGCTATATACTGTCATCTGGTGGACAGCTTGTATAGCGTCTGTATATAGAATATTGACAATGCTGCATGTACTAGCATTTTCTATGTATGTATGTCTGACATCAAGGGTGTAAGTGCTGCGCCAATTGTGCCATTGAGTGCCAATCTTATCTGCTGCACCAGGCTGTGCATGAACGGCAATAACCGTGATAGTTGTCGATTGTAAGTGTAAACCACCAAATCTAGCCGCATATTATTGTCAACCGAGTAACACTGCGCATTGGCTACACCGAGGACGTGGTTGCATTCATATCCAATGGAGTTCGATCACGTTTCAATTCGGTTCATTCGTGGGGCTCTCATTGCTGTTATTGCCGTGGTTTCTCCACAAAAGTGATAGCACCAACATGAGTAACTGTTAATTATCTAGTGATATAGTGAAACTTCGATGATTTGTGCCAACCGGGAACGTGGCAAGATCATGCAATTAACGGCAGTACGCGTTTACAAGTGCAAATGTGCATCTCCTGACGTGCCCCATTGCCACAAAAAAAACTAATACAGTACTACAGCAGATGTCGCTCCAGGTACCTACCGGAAAGTATTTTCTTCATTTCCGCCTGAGTGCGAAAAGGATCACATCGGGCTGGCACTCTCGCATGATTGATTTATCGGGCGCGGTGGCGAGGCCAAGGAGCATTTCGAAACTATTACAGGGTCTGGGACACCCAGCGGCTGAAATAGCGACTGAACGGACACTATCAGTTTTCCACGATACATATGTGCGTTTGTCTACCGCGATCTGATACTAAGCGACAACTGACAGTTTCATTTAAACAGAGAGCAGTTGCGTGGACTCAGATCATCTTCTGGTTAGTTGCATGCAGCGCGGCGCCTATATATGCTGCTCACACTATCGCTGCTGGGCGACTCGCTGAACTGTGGCCGAGGATTTGCTGTGTGCATTGCTCGTGCCCACTTCGCTCCACACCGAGCACAGATGAACAGAGTAGTGTGTCTTCAGAATAACGAACTTCCACCAAGTGAAGTGTGCCGCAAATATTTATACTCCGTTTCACACATCAGGTGCAACACAGCTGAGGCTAGCGAGACTCCTTGTAGTAGATACCTTCGTGGGAAAAGTATTCCCTTGTTTTTACCACCCAGACTATATTTTTCTTTTTGTTTCAGCCTGAGTATGAAATGACTGTTTTGCAACAAACACACAACACCCCCACACACACATACATGTGTGCACGCACACATGCAGGTGATAAGTGTGGTAAGCTATTAGTACTGAATGTTCGGTGAAAACCATAGTAATTTTTTTTTACCCAAAATAATTTTTTTGGTGATGATGTGTGACCCTAGGAAAGCTGCTCCAAAACTAACTCGCATTGCTCCAAAATACACCTTTGGTGTCCTAACCTGCTCCAAAGCAGCATTATGTCTGCTCCCTGAGCTGCTCCAAAGCACTGAAGTTGACTTCCGCCCCTGGATATACATAGTTGTATATTTGTACCTTACTAGCAGACTATTTTGTTAAAATGCGTGCGAGACTTCTTAGTTGTACTAGCTGCTGGTGTGACAACTTTGATATGTGACTGATTGCATTTAGCACTTTCATCAGCTTTGGCCTCGTATATGTCACAACAAGCATTTTCAATGTTAGTTCATTTAGCTTATTTGGTTTTTGACAATTTCAATGCTGGCTACTTTTGCAAAGTAGGAAAAAAACACTTACTTAGTACCAACTTCAATGACCATCTATCTGGCTAGTTAGGTTTCTTGCAATTTGCAGTGATTACTGTATGTGCGTTATGTTACTAATAAATATGAATATTTATAAGAGTCTTAAATGATGCATTAAACTCCAGGAGTTGGTTGGAATATTTTGCTATCTGCTCTGAAAACACCAATAGCTGCTCCAGACTAGCATTTTTCTGCTACAAAAGCGATCAAGGCTGCTCAGAAGCACCATTTTTCCTGCACCAGAATCTGCTCCAAAATGTCGCTTCCATTACTGCTTTGGTACTGATCGGAAGATCAGCTTCCCTATTTGCTCACTTTAGCGGCTTTAACATGCAAACTAACGGTCAGAGCGAATCACGGCAAATAGCACTTTCCTGTTTAAGCTTGCTGCTACGTACAGATTGTAGCTGCAGCATAGTCCCTCTTGTGATTGGCGCTTTATTGGAAAATTTTGGTTTTTTTTAACACACCTCTCAGAATGGCCATTACCTGGACATTGTAAAGGAATTGGCAGAGTTGGCCTTTAAAATGAAGAATTACAAGTTTCACATAGCTTTGACTAAAAACAAACAAATAAAGTTTTTGCTTTATTTAGAGAGTAAAGCCAGTTTACCCCCATGCATTAGTGTTACTGTAGACTGTGTCAGTGCAAGCTCACCAGGAGTTGCACTGCACCACCATTGCTGTGATGCCTTTTGGTATTGTAGCCCTCCAGTTGCAGTGGAACTTCCTTAAATCTTGTGCAGTAGCTAATAGCCTGATAAGATAAGCCTATGCTTTATTAATATGTATCTGTTCCACACAATGAAATTTCAAAATTGCAAAGCTCCCTGGTTGTTACAGGAAGGCTGTAAATCGCTAGGATTTTGTGTGTGTTGTGTGTGTGTACGTGCATGCATGCTTCCATGTGTCAACAGCAAATATGGGCTAATCTTAAATCCAGGGCAGTCGAACGTATTTACCTGCATACTGTACTCTGTTTCATGATTTCTATGCAGCAGAGCAAGGCTATGCGATCTTTGAGCACAGATTCTTGCAAAGTGAGATGTAGTGCCCGCATTCTGAACCCATCTCGTGTCCTTATTACCTTTACAAGCAGTCTTGTCAGAAGATTTTTACTTGAAGGTTACAATTAAATCTGGATATAACGAAAGTGATGAAAGCCCGGGAAAATTTGTTATAAAGAGGATTTCGTTATATGCAGGTATATACTATATACCTAACCCAAAACACTTATTTAGGGGTAATAAATTGCATTAATATTGCGATAGCAATTATATGGACACTCTCGGCGAGTTTTTGCAGTTGCCGCTATGTTCCCTAATAAGTCCAAATCGATAACATACAACAGCGCATCATAACTTTTACGAGTGGGTCAAAGCGCCGAGTACTGCTGAAGCAGTGCTAAGCGATATCGGATCCAAAAGAGTTGGCTGCCAGCCTTACTTCGTATAACATTACAATTTGTCGCTCTTGCATTCATTGCATTGCATTCAACGCTTCGCCGTGCTGTTGCCCGAGCTAATCGGCTGATCGCAAAGGCTACAGTACCTCCAACTTTCAGCGCTGGCGCAAACGCAAGACGAGTCGACCTCTTAAGATAAGGCATTGTCACCGTGGTCTCGGAGAGTTTCCACCAGCACCTAATCCGACGTCCCATCATTAGTGACGTCACGATTTTCCGCATTTGAAAAGAAAAAAAAAGCAAACCTAAATGTCGTCAGAAACCACAGCATGTGCGTGCAGTGAAACCATGCACGCGTGCACGAGATCGAAAACTAAGAGCGAACGACACGACACCACAAAAAACTTTTGGGTAAAGCACCCTCCCTATCCAGCGCTGCCACACATATGTGACGCTAACTCAAAGCATGAGGTGTTCTGTGGTGACGCTTAGGGACACTGGCCTTGCTTCATGGACACTGGCAATGCAAAAGTATTCTTTCTTGTTTGTTTGTTTCTTGGTTTGAAAGAGGAGGGCACATCCGCGCATGCGCCCGCTGCCGCAAGAACGGCGGCACGTGCGGCGCAGGCCCGCATGCCCGCTTCATGCACACCCGTTTGCAATAACGAGCGCTCACTCTCGCCTGGAAGTTGACGGGGCCACAACCGCGCCGCCGCCGCTTCGCGCTTCATCGGCGGCGGGGAATCTGCGAAAAATGCGTGCTAGTGCCAAAATGACAAAATCCGGGGCAAAATCGTCCATGGTGAAAATTCGTTACATCAAGGTTGTCTCCCGGTGTTACTTTGTTACATAGAGGTCGCAAATATATGTGCTTCTATGGAGTAACGTTGGGGAATAGAAAAACTTCGCTATATCAAGGAATCCATTATATAGAGGTTCGTTATAGGCAGTTTTAACTGTACTTGTGTTTTGAAACTGCGATCTACGTGGCGATTTTGCCTCTTTTTTTATATAAACGAATTTTTGTGGTTTTGTGATAATGAAGAAAGAGTTCTTGCTTGTGCATGATGTAATGGGCAAATGGGGAAGAAATAATGCAACTGTGCCTCGTAAGCATTAAGTTTTCATCTCAAAAGTATAAGCTATTGGTATGAAATTGCCCTAAGAGTTTATATGTAATCGGTACACCCACAGCCTACACTGCGTTGCGGAGGAACCAGCATTGGGTCCAAAAAACATGGCTGCACTGCTGCAAGCAGTTGTGGCCCACCTCGCGTCTGTCAAGTGGCCGCCGTGTGCTCTGTAGCTTGTAAGCTCTCAACTTATGCTTCCACTTGTTTCAGATTCATGTCATGAAGCTTCAGCAACACACTATTTGTGCCAATTTGGCACCGTTTTTGAGAGCCATGCTCAAATAACCAATTTTGTAAGCTTCGCCTGTGGCAATGGGCACTTGCCAAATCTCGGAGGGCGTACATTACACCTTTGTTTGTTTTTTCTAATTCTCGATAGTCGGCACATTTTTCCAGGCGCCAGCTTGAGGACATGTTATTTGGCTTTCCACACCGCTTTTTTGAATGCTGGGTAGAATAAAACACTATTCACTGCTGGAACCATGCCTGGCAACGACATGGATGATATCTGGAATTATAACTTGAAAAATGTGGAGCAAGAAGCAAACAGCACAAAGCGCCTCGCAGTAGATGCAGATGATGCAGCTCGCCAATATAGCTGTTACCCAAGACGCTGTTTCGTGGTAGCAGGTGCTGTGATCAAGGAAAGCTTCTGGACTACTTCAACCTCGGTGTGTTGCACAGATTCATGCACAATTTATGTTAAAGGAAGGAAATTCTGACGCTGCGAAAGGTTACCACTAGCAGCACACGCCGCTTGCAGATGACGGGTCGCGGAATGATACATTTAGATGTGCCCGCCCTTTTGATTGGTCAAGAAGGACTGCAGCTTCCACAGTGCTGCACGGAACTGCTGAAACAGAGTCTTATCTCAAAGCCAGGGCAGTCTACTGTACTTACTTGCATACTAGCAATGCTTTTTAGCATTTAATAGTGTTAGCTAATGTCTCCAGGAATGTCATAGTGGGATATCGAGAAGTTCATGGCCTTACAAGTCATGGAACTATCATGTGCACATATCAAGTGGATCTCGGGACTTTTTTTCCCAGCTGCATGACAAGGCTAGGTTTAAGTTATCTTGTGTGGTGCACCCCTGCAGTTTCAATCGCTATAATATACTGTTTCACTGTAAAATACTGTTGCTATTCTATGTCTCTATGGTATTTAATAAGAGAAGTAAAAATAAAAACATTCTTGATGTTTGTATAAATGTAAATTTTGATAGCTTCTTCAGTGTAGTTTATATATCACTTTTTATTTGCAGAAGTTGAAGGCTGCTGACCAAAAGCCTGAGGAAGAAATCAAGGAGATCCTTGAAGATAAGGCTGCCGTTATTACAGCCCTAGAAGATGATAGTAAGCATATAACATCTTTTATTCATCTTAGTATGATACACATGCTTCAGTATTTAAAGCTTCCTACTGTGTGATTCCCTTATTATGTTTGACACTGCAACTTCTCAGTTCTGATGTGTGTTTAGCTATGAAGAATTCATCTAGTGCTACTATGGTGCCTGTAAAAAATAAAGTAGAGCACCTTTTTACAGTTACTTAAAACAGCCTCCAAAGCTTTTCAATTTATTTTTGTGTTTGCAGTGGCCACAATATCAATCTATTAGTTCAAAGTCAAGGATATACAACTGCTGCTGTTGCATTGGCTCTATCATTTTAATTAAGTACGTTACTGTAAAATGGCCCCTCCCAATACTGTCGCAACATCCAGTTCTGAGCTTACTGTTCTCATTGCGAAGTCTTCCAAACTCGTCCATTCATCCATTTTTTCATGGGCTCCTTCTGCTACTATCTTCTGTTTGTATCAGCCCTTTTACTATATTTGTGTGTTAATCTGCCTCAAGCTATGCCCAGTCCAAGTCCTCTTTTGCATATTAGTTTTTCTTTCTTTTTTTATTTTCCCCTCTGTCAATTTTTTACTGGACCCGTGATTTATTGCACACTCTCATTATTTTCCTTACTACTTTCTGTCTGCCCTGTGCAGTGGAGAAAAAACCTTCCGCTCCCAAGAAGGAGGAGCTTTCAAAGGCTGACCTTGCAGACATTGAGGATGCGTTGGAAAAAATTGCTGCTGAGAAACAGGAACTTCTGATAGAAAAGGAAGAGCTTGAAGACTTGAAAGAAGAAATGGCTGACTATAAGCAGGTAGGTCAGCGTTGTAGTTGTTGTAGCAATGTGGAAAACGTTCCTATAAACAAATTTTTTATCAGTTTCATCATTAGTGTGAGCTTTTCTTTTTTTAAGAAGTTTTCAAGGTGCTACTTTCTGCATTTCTAATGTAGTTACTCAGTAGGATGCGCACCGATTCTGGGGTCTACATAAATGAATGTAAAAAAAAAGGCTTGAATGTGGGGAACTTGTGCATGTATGCAGCAAATTTATTTGTAATAGCAGTGCATGAACAATTGACAGATTTTTCAAGCTCCCCTTGCTAACTTGAGTGAAAAATTGAAGTCTGGCATGGCACAATGGTTGAAGTCCTAGATTTTAGCGTGTGTTTTATTAAAGCATAAATGTGTTGTATTCATAATATTTTTCTTTGTTATATAGAGTGTACAATTGAGAGGCACCCATAGTAACCACTGTGGGACACAGCAAGCAAGGAAACTTAGTCACCTCAGTTGTTCACAATCTTACAGTCAGTGTTTGAAGTCTCACTTGAAACACTGACTGTAAGACTATAAGAATTTCTAAGAAAAACTGACTATCTTAGAAATCGCTTGAATGTCGTGATTTCTTAGATAATACTAGTGAGGGGATACAGATGGAAAACATTTGCCCTATCTTTTAAGTAGAGACAATCCATGAGTGATTCTTTTTATTGCATCCGTAACGACATTTGTATAAAGTACCGTATTTATTCGATTCTACCGCGCCCTCGATTGTAACGCGCACTCGGTTTTCACGACGAAAAAAAAAAAGTAAGACATCGATTGCAACGAGCACCCATTTTTCTCGTTGGCCCGCACGATCGCACTACTCGGGAAAACGACTCCTTTCGGGAGCGTCTTTCGTTTAAATAAGAGGTATGGGAGAAGCTTGTGCCTATCTGACGTGCAGCGGAGCATTGTCGTCACTCTTGTTTTACCGTGGCCCGATGTCAGCATGCGAACTTGCTTCGCCCCCTTCTCGACGGTTGTGGTGCCAGGCATGTCGAAGTAAAGACGCGTCTGATCGGCATTCCCGATTTGCCCAAGCAGGTAGCCGTTGTTGTGCCGCAAGTTAGGACGAACCTCTGAAAACTGTGAAGCTTTTCTTCGTACTCCTCCGGCAAGTTTTGGCGCATGCCCGTTCGCTTTCGGAGGAAAAAGCCTTTACTCTTCATAAAGTTAGTTAGCCAGCACCTGCTCGCTTTGAACTGGCTCCACATTAGCCCTTTTTCTAAAGCTAACTGCATAGCCCACACTTGGAGCAGTTCTGTCATCACGGGCCGCTGTGCTGCTCGCGGCTCAAGCACATCCTCGGCGAGCAGCTCTTCAATTTGCGGAAACCGACCCTGCTGTGGTCCACTGAAGCCTTTGCATGAATCTTTCACAATCTTGTGCTTTTGTTTCCGCCAGTCCCACACGCACGTTTCGGGAACTCCGAACGACCGCGATGCGGCCCGATTTCCGTCTGTTTCGGCAGATGCGATGACTTTTCTTTTAAAAGTGGCTTCGTGGTGCACTTGTCAGTTTCTGGAGTCGGCCCTTCCATACCGTCGATGCTAATGAACTACAAGATGACGAACTCCTCAGCACACGTTTGAAGTGCCGCACATGGGAAACACATAGGCAGAAATGGCCGACGTGCCATGCCGAAGCACGTAGGGGGCGGCCATTTTGGAAATGCCGATGGCAATAGAATGACCGTACTCATTTTTTTTTTTTTTTTCGCACTCGATTTTAATGCGCATGTGATTTATGAACTCGCTTCACCGGAAAAAAGGTGCGCGTTAGATTCGAGTAATTACGGTAATACAGATTTAGACGGTTGTTTTGTGGATAATTTGGATATCTTTGCATTATATTTTTTTAGATATTTTTTAAATTATGTAACACCCAATGAAGATAATGCATTAGTCTTGCGTTGAATACTATTAGCTATGGTGATGCCATGTAATTAAATAATAATAAAAAGCACTGCTAGCATTTCATCCCTATTTGGAGCAAAGGTTGAAATTATTCAGAGAGAGAAAAAATATGATGCTATCAAGTTACACTTTCTGAGGCAACTACTTCATTTTCTGATACCAAATTCGTGTCTGATGCTCTATCACTGAGCTACGGTGGCGGTCATTCCTCCGTCCACTTTATAAAATATATGTGCACATTTAAACTTGGGAGCATCAGTCAGCGCTGCCAATAGCCACTACGGCGAGTGTAGAACACTTCTTTTGCCTGTCGGCGTCAGGTAGCATGTGATCTTATTACGAGCTGGCAGCTGACTAATAATTCCTCATACACTACGTGAAGGCATCAAGTCTGCCAGAACGAGACCCTTGCTGTGAATGAAGAAAAGAAGTGCAAATTTAAAGGCTTGTTTTTCCTTGTTAGACACAATATTATTAGTGAGAACTTACGGACAATGATGCCAAGGAAATTATAGGGAATCTTATTTTAAGTAATTGTCATGTATATGTTAAAAGAGAAAAGCGGACGAAAAGGCACCGTCAAAAAGGGATGGCCATGAGATAAGTAAATTTGCTAAATTTTTGTTCATTTTCTTATTTACCTTTTTGTGATTTTTAGACTTTGTTTTATCGCATCATGAAGTATTAGTATAAAGTACGCAGTAGAAATTGAGAAAGCAGCTCTTTGCTGGTGTGCTGTCATCAAGAATTATGAGAAATTGGACTCCACAAAGCACAAATTTTACATGTTAACCATGGCACAGCTCCATTATATTGGCATCATCGCAAGGAGCAGAGATTGATGCTCAAGACAGCCACAGTGGCCCCGCGGCGGTGGTCTACTGGCTAAGGTACTCGGCTGCTGGCCCGCAGGTCGCGGGTTCGAATCCCGGCTGTGGCGGCTGCATTTTCGATGGAGGCGGAAATGTTGTAGGCCCGTGTCCTCAGATTTGGGTGCATGTTAAAGAACCCCAGGTGGTCGAAATTTCTGGAGCCCTCCTCTACGGCGTCTCTCATAATCATGTGGTGGTTTTGGGATGTTAAGTCCCACATATCAATCAATCAAGTTAGCCACAGTGTCATATTTCTCAAGAGAAATATAAAAACAGTCCTGTTCTGAGCCCCATTTTCTCAGCCTCGAGCTTTGTTTTTCTTAGTTTAGTGTTTAGTGCAGTTGCTGTCAGTGATCCATGCAAAAAAATAAAGATAAAGTCATCGTTATTGCGCTCAGATCCTGAAACACTGGTGAGGGCCATGGAGCTGCACTTTGTCTGCACAGCATACAAATTTTTATATTTCATTTTTGTTAAATTAATTAGTTGCACAGTATGTATATGATGTTTTGAAAATTTCTTTTATGCTTTTTGAACTTTAAAAATGAACCCATGTCCTATAATGCAGAATGGGCTCTTGTGAATTCGCTTACGCAAAAATCTTGAATGCATGTCAATGAATTATTTATTTAGTCAGTAAATGATGACTATGAGCCCATCAAGTGTTATAACTGGATGAATGTAGTGGGTTACCCAAACAGGTTTCAGCTATGTCATCAGCATAACTGATATCTGCATGCAAAGTTTCATCAATTTGTCTCTATAAATAACAAGAATACCTACTTTTAATTGCCTTGTCACCCCTTATACATGTTTTGTGATTGTAATGTGAAGCTGCTTGCTCTCAGAGCGATTAACCATAGTATGCACAGTGGCACTGGGGCCGTCTCATGTCGCCTGGCCATGGTCACAGGGTTAGTGCCCTATAAAACAGTCTTGGCCAGTCATGGGCATCAGAACCGGTGGCAGCTGTCCCTCTTTGGAAGCTCGGATGATATTTTTCTGTCTTGTAGCAATAACGTACACAGCTTAGTTAGCATGCTCGGATCTTAGCCTTCAGGGTCGCCATTTAATTTCTCACGTTACAGACTGTGGACTAATCGTGCCTGTCAGCAAAGATATTAGTGTGGACTAATCGTGCCTATACAGCAAATATTTCATCATCCTAGGCTACAAATTTAAAAAAAAAATTTTTTTCGAGTAGCATCTCCTCTTAATTAAATATTAGCACTAAGTTTAGACAACATTACTGAAAATGGCAAAACTAACCAACATCATGAGTGGCAGTTCTCTAGTCATTAAGTAAATTAAGCCCTAGATGTGTACTGGCTTATATGATGATTTTTTCTTTAACATTTTTATTTCAATAAGCTTGTCAAGTTTCCTACTCTTGTGATTATCAGCATCTCCTGTTGATCGAGCATTTTGTGTAATTGCAAAAATTCATGTGGCAGCCTTAATAAAAAGGGCCCTTGCCATACAGTGACAATGGATGGATGGTAAAGTTCGTTTGGATATTCAATAATGCCACAGCAGGTCTCCTTTACATCGACGAAATAGGTTGGTAAACAGGCAGGACAGTGCATGTCCTCCCCATTTACACATCTTACATGCACCCTGTGACGCTGCTGCAGGGATGGTAATTTAGTTTTTTGTTATATATTTGGCATAAGTAGCACAGCCATCAATCATGTGTTCATGTTATGATAGTTATAGGCAACTACCAAATTATTGCCAGTATTACTCTACTTTTGTCACTGCATGGTTTCATCTGTTCAAGTGTGGTGTGTTTTTGAGGTTATCCTTATTCTTGAGCAGCTAAGTGAATGAACGTGCTTGCTTTTAGTTAATGGTAATATTGTTGCCCATCTTTTATTGCTTTCGTGACTTGTCTATGTGTAGTTTACAATTAGCTGAACCAAATATATCGTTTTGTTTCGCAGGATGTAGAAGAACTGAAAGATGTTGTCGTCAAGACTGGTAAACGCGACATTCAAGAAACTAAAGCCGCAATGCGCCTTTACAATCGTGTGAACCGTATTATTGGTAGCATGGACCATCTAATAGACAAACTAAATGAAGAACGGAAGTCAATGCAGATCAAGCTTGATTCTTCAGAAGGTGCTGCAAGTCAAAAAACCAAGTGAGTGCCACCCATTTTTCAACAATCGTACGTAGTTAGAGGTGGAAGCTTGGAGTGTTTAATTATTCGGCTGTAAGCAGATGCCTATAAGCTCACACCTATAAGAACATGCTCATTTAAAGTTCTCATATGTGTCTGCTATAGTTCTTCAGCCCATATTCTGTAAGCCAGCCTGTAAAACCTGCCTTCTCAGGAAATTTTCTGCTGGGCCTTAAACTGTTTTTAGTCAAAAGGATGAACGATCTCACAGGGACCTTGCTTCCTTCTTTTTCTTTCTGTCAGTCACCATGTTTATAAGTCATGCTTGTGCTGTTACTTTCAAAATTTTTGCGCACATCAAAGGGAACACAGTATAGTAAAGAATATTGTGACAAGAACACGCGACGCACACACAGCGCTGTCCCTGTCTTGTCTTGTCCCTGCCTTCTTTTGCCTTGTCCTTGCTTCTTTCTGACCTTATCGCTGTCTCATTTTGCGCTGTGTTCCCTCCAATGTTTAACCAACACGCCCAAGCTTTGACGCTAAGTCGTTTTATGCACAATTGGGGAGCCTACATTTATTATGTTGGGTATAAAACTTCTGGCAAAAAAGTGCCGCATGATACAGGATCTGTCTGTAAAGTTAGGAGATTGGGCCTGGTAAAAATAATTCATTCATCTGATCAGTACTTATTATTTCAGTTATTCAAAAGAGTTTTCTTGGGTGTCGATATTCTGATTACAGTGATTACAGCACGATTTCAATACTGCAAAGATTTTTTGAAAGTCAGCTGCCTTTGGGAGACTCTGCAACAGCTCGTTGGATGGCGGGAATGCCGTTTGGTCGTGGAGAGGAGCGTGGTCTTTCTGGCTTCTCTTGAGCTTTAGGAAGAGCCCTGCCGCAGTGGTCTAGGGGCTAAGGTACTCGGCTACTGAACCGCAGGTCACGGGATCAAGTCCCGGCTGCGGCGACTGCCTTTTTGATGGCATTGAAAATGCTGTAGGTCCTTGTGCTTAGGTTTGGGAACTCGTTCAAAGTGACAGGAACTGGAATGCTTTATTTAGAAGCGTCATCATCGGAATGTCTGCATGTTGTTTTTAACAGGGAGAATGAAGGATACTTTCTTTACTTTTTTTTTAATGGTTTAGCACTGCTTACAATGGCTGCAAATGATAAATGTGTTTAACTGTAAGATGCAAGGTTTGCTGCTCGTAAGGACCACACGTAGGAATTGGTCTATGCTCATTCATTCAGCCAATAATCTGCCTTGTACATGGCCTGCACTGCAGGTGTCATCATTCCTACTCATATATTTATGTGCAACATTCTTATAATCATTTGTGTGCTGTTAGATAGTAACAAAGTATACTATTGCCAGGAATTATCTAGGAGACTATGGTGTTTTTGGGGATGAAGCACCAAAATTTCCATTTAGGAAAATTCAAGATGTGAGGAATTTTTCAAGTGCAGCTGTGTCTTTGTTATACCAAAGTGTGACTGTGCTTAATTTGTTTGCCTGTTTAGTGAAAATTGATACTTTATCTGAACTCCATGGAGGGTCTACTGATAACCTGGTTGCACTGGGACCAGCCTTAATTTTTTTTATTGCCACATTCTGCTTGACTATTGCGATAACCTGGTTGCACTGGGACCAGCCTTAATTTTTTTTTTTATTGCCACATTCTGCTTGACTATTGCATACTTCAAATGCTTGATTGGATCATGACATTGTCTGTATTTTGCATTCAGGGACAACCTGATTGAAATCAATGATCTGTTGCTGGCTATGCGGCGCATCCAGAAGTCATCTAGCGACACACGTCTCGAGATGATCACTGACCTTTTGGACACACTCGACATTGACCATGATGGCGCTGTAAAGATTGACCATGTGTTAAAGGTGTGTTCTCTCTTCATGACGAACAGATTTCAGGGGCATTGGTTTATTGAATGCACAGGACTTCTTGATGCAGCTATTACCTATGAGATTTCATAGTGACAGAACACACACTTGATAAGGTGAACTTGATAATAGAAACTTGAAGTTAACTCCATCAAATAAATTTCCAATTTTCCATTGGCATTCTATGTTACAAAGTACAGGACTGAAGTGATTGGCAAAACATGGGAGAAGCCTTTGCCCTGCAGTGGACATAGTCAGGCTGCTGCTGCTGATGATGATGATGATGATTATGTTTTCAGTGTATCTTGAAGCCACTTATTCAAACTGCTTCATTTGCAAAAATTTGGTTGATTTGTACTTTTTGCTTGTCTATGAAGAAAATATGTGCAACCTTTGTCTCTTCTTGCTGAACACCCGCATTCTCACGGCACAAGTGGTGGCAAATAAAGCTGATTGGCAGCCAAATTAGCCAAACCATTAGACCTGTAGCATGGGTTTGGGTGGTTAGAGTGTTTTACTGAGAATAATGAAAATAAGTGTATTTCAAGGCCTTCAACAAGTGTGTATGTGTGTGTATATGTGCATGCGTGTGCGTGCATACACGCCAGAAAAAAAAAGTCCTGGCTATGGGCCTACAAATCATGCACATCAGAAATGGCATGTTGATTAAAGGTCAAGTGCAACAAAGTTTTACCTGGACAGAATTGACTTAGAATGCATAGTATGTGTTGGGTAAAAAATGATGAGAGTGAAAAAGCTTGCAGTCACGTATTTGGTTTATAATCAGTGCTCTAATTGTCAGTTAGCAGGCGACACGGAGCTCTAACGGTGTGCCAGGACCAATCAGGTGCAAATAGAAATGACGTCAATTACAGCTCACCACCACTTGTGAGCAGACCTCCCTGCAGCCGCATCCTTCCCTTTTCTGTGTGATGCACTTCTACGAGTGGATAATTCAGAGGATTTAACTCTTTTGTAGTATGAAATGTGGGGCCATAGGCTGCTGGAACATATGTTACAGCTGGGGAGCAACGCTTTTTCGAAAAACATGAAGCTCCAAAAGCTGCGGTTTATAGGAGTGAGGCAACAGGAATGAGAGGTATCGAAGAGTGTGGTGCTTTATGCGGCGAACTTCAAAGGTGTCAAATATATACACAAGCGGTTTCTCTTTGCCCAAATACTGTTAGAACTGCAAAGAATGTTGAATCTTGACGCAGTGCCTTTAACATTCAGCAACGGCCAACACAACAGTGGGAAGCCCCGATCAGAGTTTGGAGAAGCGCAGGCAGTAACATGTATTCGTATTAGACAGCTTTAGTATAGTGTAAAACTTATACCTGCCAAGTCTGCCGGATCGTCCAGGAGACTCCCGGATTTCAACCGTTTCTTCCATTTGTACGGCTGTCATGAATATCTCCCGGGAATCAAAATTTCTGTGCGTGATCTAGCCGCATTGACAAAAATGCAGGTCAGTATGCTCCAGGCTTTTTGTGAACCCACCGCATTTTATTACAAACGAATTTAAGAGGCGTTCATCTAAACGTATAGTAGTCTCAGTAATACGAAACCGCAGCAGGTACAAATTCCTGAAATTTCTCTGCCAAATTGACCTTATTAGAGTTTCTTAGACCTTATGCAAAATTGCTGCCATCTGTCGGACGTCATGTGCATACCGCCATGTTAGAGGCTTGAGCGCAGCGCAGTCCACTTGCGTTTGCGTATACGTATACATAACGCATGTCAACGCGAGGCGTGTATGGGCTGATAATCGCAACGCTGACGTATTGCTGCTTTCCTTGCTGCACACAGAGAGGAACTCGGAATGCTCAAGGAAGAAAAATAAGCCGTAAACTTTGCCCCTGGTTATTTTTTTCAAGCTGAGAATTTTTCCAGCATGTGTTCTGGCTACTGCTCCCGAAACACGTTTCCGTTATCTTTTCTAATCAAGTAAGGCATGCGATAGCATATTGTAGCGACTCGTGTTCCCTCAAATCGCTGCACGCCGAAGCAAGATAGTTTTTGCAACATTTTGACTAGCACCTGTTTAACAAAGGAAGGGGACTCGTATGCTTCACGCAGAAACTACGTTCACGCAACGACCTTTATCGCAGCTAATTGCGTGCGCGCGCCTGGCATCGAGGCACTTCAATAAGGTATATTCAACTGTGTCCATTGAGTCAAACTTTGAATTTTCCAAACACATTTCCTGATCGCAGCATGCAATATGAACTCTAGTACCAAAGCCGTCGAACGAAGGTCGATCGAGAGCAATGTGTGCCCTAAGCTTCAGAAGTATGCGTGCGACCAGCGCATGCACCGTCTTCTATAGTCTGTCTGGTTGTTGCCACAACTGCTGTGGACAAAACCGCGGTCGTTCTTGACAGGGTCATGTATGGCGACGACGTTAGTGACAAAACTTCAATAGTGTGCACGCGTCCAACGCTCAACCAGTCACAGCAACGCTGCTTTCCATAAACTCTGTGGACAAGACCGCAGGGCATGTGATCATAGATAGAATAAAACAACTAAGTTTTGAAGGCACGTGTGCAGCTAACGCACGCGAATTAAAAACGTAACTACAGTTTGCTGCAACCGCCGTGCACAAAGCTGCTCTCATGGCGACGTGATAGCAATCTACGAGCTCCGAAGGCATGTGGCTAACACAGCAGTAGATTAAAGGCAGTAAAGATTAAAAAAAGGGCTAGGAGCATTTTGACGTTCCTGTGCAAAGAATCTAGTTGCGAGCAAAGCCAAAGCTTTGACCCGTGCTTTCGCGGCAGCCAGCTACACCGTTACGTCCGTTAACATGTGTTCCATGAAGACGTACATGAGTTGTCTCTCAGGAAATATATTTTGCTAGTTGTTATGACGTGAAATTTCGGGAGTATTAGCGCTTCCCCTTTGAGACTTTCACCTTAGTGGGAGACCGCAACGCCGATGTTGGCTCTTGCGATTGGGACCCCCTTCCCCCCACCTCTTGTTTTTGGGCGATGTTTTTTCTTTTCTTTTGGTGCAAAAAAAAATTGAGAAAAATAATTCAGCGTGTTTACCCCCCTTCCCCCGTAGTGGAAATCCACTGGATTCAGAATCCTTGAACTTGACGGGTATGAAAATGCCTTCGATAGCTCATTATATTTTTTAAACTACGGTGAGATGCCACTGATAAAAAAAAATTATAAAACGACACCCTGTGAAGGGCTAGACTAGCTGCACCATTTATAATCGAGTAATCAAAGCTCCAAAAGCTGATCGGCTCGCTTCTAGCTGCACGTGATCAAAGCAGCGAAGTTCAAAGCAATTTAAGCCTATCAATGTATTATAAGAAAATGGACTCTGCTACGATAGGTTTAATGTAAATTTTTTTGGCGCAGTCAAAAAAGTGTCTACAGAAATGTAGGGATGCTTTTGGTAGACTTGGGAGTTTGTCACAATAAAACTCAACCTTCTACTCACTCCCTTCGTTTCCTTGAGCAGAGCTCTTTCAGCTGCGTAGCGGCTATTCGTATAGAAGCGAGTCAGTGAGCAAACTTTATTTAACCAGCGGATTGAAGCGTGGGCCTAAGCCGCACCAGAGGCGGTGGAGAGACCCTGTCTCTCAGCCGCCTCCTGTGCTCGCTGGATGGCCCATATTTGAAGGGAGTGGAAGAATGGTTGCATGGTGTCCGCCTTGTCTTGTCGTGGCTGCTGCATCTTGTAAAGGATGGAGACCAGCGCCTTTCGATACGTTGCAACAACTCGACTTTATGTACAGGAACTTACGTACGAATTTACAAGACTCTTCACCGTTGGAACTGTCGCATGTTGCCTCAGCAGAGTCAATAGTGTAGACCACTCTTTGCTGCGACCAGCTCGACTGTGAGGACACGGGAGCCAGGTTATAACCCCTCGGTTGCCCCTCCCAATTCTCCTCACGGCCAACCAAAACAATTCACTCCGTTTATTGGACATACTAAATACACTTGTCGCCGTCCTCTCCGCTCGCTCTCTTATTCAAGCACTTGACCTCCCGTTTTAAGAGAGAGACGAAAGGACCGGCCTACACAAGACGTTCCGCGAACTTTGCGAATGCACACAATGGTGGCGCCGCTCGGCTGCGGGCCCATACCCTTACTGCAAGATGACTACGCTGTCCAGCGTGACAGCTGTCCCGCAGACCCTAATTCAGATGGATGGGTGTCGATACACCTGATGTCCTCATGTCGCCCGCCGGCACTTCGCTGGCCGGGAACCACCTAGCTGGTTATTAAAAGGGGCAACCGACCGCGGTCTTCTTACCAGAATGGGCGTCCTTACACCGGGATTATCGTCTCCCGAGAATCGGCTCTTTGGGAAGCACACCCTTTTGCGACAAAGAAGACTCACTCCCCTTGGCCTGAGATGCTAGACCTTACACGCCCTTCCCAAGATTCGCGCAAGTGCTCAAATGCAGCTACGCAAATAACAACAACATAAAGGGATGGCGCCGAACGTCGCCAATCCTGCGGCCACACTTCGCAGTTCCTTGAATGCGAGAGGCGTTTCTGCAACGCGTGCAATATTCTCTCTGCTGAAACCTCGGGGCCCCACCAAACGGGCGCCACCACAAAGCAACCAAAAAAGAAAAACAACACGAGGTCACTGTGTACACAAGTACAATCGATAAAGCAGGCAAATCAAACAACTAAACTCCTGCTTCCTTATAGTCATACATATACACAAAAAATACTTCACTGAAGCACACACACCCTTTCACACATGGTGCGGTTCAAATGAAACAAAGAATACCATAACTCCTGCATGTTTTCACACTCAAGAAAAAAAATACACTTTACTGAGACTCACACATTTCAATGCATGGTGCTGTTCAAGTGTCTCCAGGTTTGCGCAACTCGCTCTTAACTAAAGGAGTATCCACCCCGTGCCTAGTCCTCTAGTGTCTCAACTCCCGAAGGCACCGCTGATATTTCCTGTGCGACCATTAGGTGCTCTCGACAGTGTGCATGCAGCGGCAACAATAGTGGGCGGCAGCAACAGACCATGGTAATCAGTGTGCTGAAGGGCCAGAAATTGAACGCTCCTGAATTCCAGCTAACTGACAAAGAATCGCGGCATTGAGCTAGAGAAAACCCGTGCCGTGCAAACGTGATCGACGCCTGAGCGTCGCTCTTCGCCCGCCGTGATCAGTAGACCTCAGAGGTGGCCATGGACAAGTTCATCATGAACTAATATGGCTTTTTGGGATCTACTCTTATCAATGGCGCTCCCTCACACAGTGTGGCTCCGAAACGGCCCATCCGGCCACGCAATTTTGTCCGCAACCCGCTCTCCCGTTAGCTTAGTACACGGTCGAGCTACCTTCACGTAATTTATCCAGTAGCCTAGGTAGTGTCCACATGATGCCTGAAATTCTATTAGCTTTGTCCATAAACTCAACTCTTTGACTACCACAAACTCCTCACCATCAGGTGCCCGACAAGGGGAACCTGCAACACGCCCTAAGTAGCTCTCCAAATGAAACTCCACGCAACGCTGTTACCACTCGAGAAGTCTCCCCACTTCCCCTATTATGATTCTATGGGGATGCCAGCTCTTTCTAGTTAATCGCTCTTCCTCATGAATTTTTCGTTGTCGCACCGAAGTCCCATTGGGTTGGCCACCGAGCGGCACCCTGTTCTCACTAAATATCTCACAGACTCGGTCGTGGTCTCGTTTATCGGCATTGGCCGACTGATCATAGACCGGGCAAGTACCCGCAGCACACGCTGCTGCCGGCCGCGGTTCATACTGAGCATCACTAAATTGCACGCCTTGTTCGAACGATACACCAACCGACCCAACTTTTGGGCAACAAAGGCGCAATTCACTCGCGTCGCCCAGCTCTCGAGGCTCCGCTGGCCTCTGTGCCACACACAAACGCACGTGTTGTCGCTCAACAATGCTTTCCGCTTCCGCACCCTTCTCGGCTATCGGTTTTACCTCGGCATGCTCCTTTTCGCGGAACTCCTTGGGTGCGCCTGTATCTTTCCTGCCCGCCACTTGCGATCCAACGGGCGACGCACGGCTGCCCTGGGATTTGTCGTCGACCCCGCTGCTCAGGACATGGGCGATCCTACCCTTTATAGTCACGGTTTCCCCCTGGCTTTCAGGGCTCTCGGCTTCTGACCGCCGCACTTAGCCCGTGTTCAACGGGCCACTTTTTGGCGTCAGCCGTGTGCCGCCTGTCTCCTCCGCACCTTTCAATATGCTCTGGGAAGTGCACTCATCTTTAAGCGATTTCCATGCTTTTTCTGACAGCAGGCAATCCGCTCGTGCTGTCAGTCGGCCAGTTAACGCTCAAAGCACGGGAACCGTGCCCTTTAGGTCAGCGCTAATGCCGCTTTCACTAAATATCGTCAACGGGACCACCGCGAGCTTCGCCTTCACCGTACCACCAAACGCAGATTTTAAGTTGATAGTGCCTTGCGGCTTCACCATCTCCGGTGGGATCGCGCTCTCCCGCAACACAGCGATCTCCACCCCCGTGTCCAAAACTGCTCCGATATGCCAATTCTTACAATTGAGTCACACGGCGATGAGGTCACTGTGCGCTGCCACCGGTTCTCCCATGGAAACGTGCGCCCCTAAGCTCTCGCTCTCAGCGCCCGAAATCCCTTTAGTCGGCTGTTTCTGGCGCTGAGGGCAATTCTATTTTTGGGGCCCTGCGCTACCGCAACAGTAGCATGCCCTGGACTTACGTTTTTCTTCTGCGCCTAGGCTTTCCCCGGCACCGCTACTCTTCGCTGTCTCAATTTGAGCTCTAGCTTTGCTTGCACCCTGCAATTCCGCTGACTTTTGATTCACCTGTCTCGCAGCGCTGTTCGCACCCTGCGCTTCCTCAAACGTTCGCAGACACGCGGATATCTCTGGGGCGCTCATCCACGTTCTCCCTTCTTGGAGTGTCACATACCGCACGGCCTCCTCTGACAAATTTTTCTTTAATTGGTCGGCAACCAAAAGCTTAACCAGGCCCTCGAATGTCGACACCCCCCTTGCCTCGAGGTAATAGTGGAGGTAGCTCTCTAAACGTGTCGAAAAAGGTCTCCACCCTTCGTTCGCACGCTTACCTGACACCTAGAATCTTCTTAGATATTCACCTGCCGAAAGTTTGAGCTCGTCAAGCACCGTTTGCTTGATTACCTGGTAATTTTTATGCTCTGTTGGGCTTAGTCACGTGGACAAAAATGGGACTCTCTCCGCTACCAATGGGAAAACCAACCGTCCCCAAAACTTCCCTGGTACCTCGTACGCTTCTAGGGCACTCTCCACGGACTCAAACCACACCGGTGCTTCAGCCTCTGTTGGAAATTTAGCAATACCCCTGTGAGAACTTTCGAGTAGCGTCTCAGTTCGCTACATGGATCCCGCCTGCCGATCTCGGGTCCACTCCACCGAGAGCTTCCACCCATCATCTGCGACAGTCTCTCCATATCCAACTGCAACTCCTGCAGTCTACGCTCCAGCGTGAGATTTCCGAAACGGTCATCTCTCTGGCTTTCCCGGGGACTACCTTCTTCCGGTTTTGCCGTGTCGCTCTCGTCTCACGACTCATGGCCTGCGCTCGTCTGTCCGGGTTTTAGTGGGCAAACCTCGTGTATAGGATGCCTTAAAACTCAAGAAAGGCAGCGGCACCCCTGAGATGTAAAAACACCAGAGGACTCACCACTTGTAAAGTTGCTGCTCGCTGCTCTCTTGCCTTGCCCGCCGTCAGACACTTGACATCGCTCGATGTCGCCGGGGTTGTCGCTGGACTGATGAATGGGAGTGACAGCTGCCGGACCGTTGACTTCCTCGGGTTGATGGCTGCCGCACCGCAGTTTCCTCAGCTCGGTGGCTTGCTTCTTCATTGGAACAGCCGATGTCTTGGCTTTCGTCTTGTGTGTCCTCCGCAACACGATGAACTCCTTGGTACGCAGAGCGTTCCTTGTTGTCGTCGTTTCGATCCTGTCTGGCTGCACCAGTAAAACTCAACCTTCTGCCCACTCCCTCTGTTCCCTTGAGCAGAGCTCTCTCAGCGGCGTAGCGGCTGTTGCTATAGAAGGGAGTGGAAGGTTGGTTACATGGTGTCCGTCTTGTCTTGTCGTAGCTGCTGCTGCTTGTAAAGGATGGAGACCAGCGCCTTTCGATACGTTGCAACAACTCGACTTTATGTACAGGAACTTATGTACGAATTTACAAGACTCTTCACTGTTGGAACTGTCGCATGTCGCTTCGGCAGAGCCGATAGTGCAGAGCACTTTTTGCTGCGACCAGAACCAAAGCAATTCAGTCCGTTTATTGGACAGACTAAACACGTGTTGCCGTCCTCTCCTCTCGCTCTCCTATTCAAGCACTCGACCGCTCGGTCAGAGAGAGAGAGACAGAGAGACGGAAGGACCGGCCTACAAAAGACGTTCCGCGAACTGTGCGAACGCACACAATGGTGGCGCCGTTCGGCTGCGGGCCCATACCCTTACTGCGAGATGACTACGCTCTCCAGCGTGACAGCCGTCCCGTGGACCTTAATCTAGATAGATAGGTGTCGATACACTGGATGTCCTCACGTCGCCCGCCGGCACTTCGCTGGCCGGGGACCACCTAGCTGGTTGTTAAAAGCGGCGACCAATCGCGGTCAGCTGTGATGGCATCATTCTGGTCAGCTGTGATGGCATCATTTTTTTGCTAGTTTAAGTATCAAAAATTGTGTTAGTGGTGAGTGTTTTTATTGGGTAACTACTCACATTTCGAAGGTGAAATTTGGCAGGCAGCATTGTCTCCAGCTAGACAGCCTATAAATTGTCTTTTTGAAGTGTGCACAATTTCCTTGCGGTCTGGCCTTTGTCTATAGCCGGCAGACTGGGTTCGGACAGGCCGCCAGTGGAACCTGAACTTGGCAACGGTTAATGCTAGAACCTTATCCAGTGAGGCGAGTCTAGATGTGCTATTCAAGGAACTAGAGGGTGTTAAATGGGATGTAATAGGGCTCAGTGAGGTTAGTTTCTTTGGGGGTACATTGTTGTCATGGGAAAAAAGCATAATAACATTGCGAGATGAGTGCTAACGATCTTGTTAGCCGACACACAGTACATTTTGTCCTTTAAACATGTGCACACACTGGATAAAAACTAGCAGCAATACATTTGCTGGCATCTGAAAACTTCACTGGCAATCATTCAGGCTCTTACAGTGCTCTAATGCTTACATTGCTGCTACCCTGAGAAACATTAAACAGAAACACAAGCCAGTTTTTTTCAATATTGCATCCCCACTCCCAGTTTGATGAATCTTGGGAATTTCAAGGCACCCAGATTTGCAGGCTTTCGTATGAAAATATTTCATTGCTACACAAGTTAGTATGTTGTTCCTACTCATATTTATATGAAAACTTTGGATGATTCATACAAAAACATAGGGTACCATCAGGTTTGATTTATTGAGAGCCTAGCGTGAGAGCCTAGCATGTGAGAAACATCACGGTAAGATTGTCTCCAGCCATTGTAGTCCTGTGTTGCACAGCTTTTATTTTTGGCACAGGCACACTGTGTGCAGTACAGAAAATACAAATTAATGTTTATTGTGTAAGGGCTGCCCCATATTTCTTGCTTTGCCAAAGCTGTGATTGCTGTTTGCCTTGGAAAATATCTTGAAAGATAGTGTAACTGTTCTCATTTTGGTTAATGCCGAAAAAACAGGGTAGTTGAGTATCATGTGTAAGGTTTAGCGGTGATGTAGTTTAACGCAGCCTGTGTAAATGCTGTCAGTGCACAGTTGCATCCGTTGAGGTTAATACTGCTATATCATTTTTTTTACTAGTTTCTAGCTGTGAATATTAGCCGATGGGTAATGGGTGTAATGTCACAGCAAACTAACAGAAAAAAAAATTATTTTCTTTAGTCACAAACCAGCATGCCCAAGTCACTCACCTAACACTGGTGATCCCCCTGGTTTGACTTGATGAGAATGTAGTTTGAACATATATTTTGCCATTACAGGTCATCGATACCCTCGGCCGTGAAAATGTCAAGGTGAGCCCAGCTCAGATGAAGGAGATCATTGAGCTTCTTATCAAAGAGGAAGTCCTGTATGCCAAGAACAAGGAGCAGCAAGCAGCCAGTACAGACGGTGCGACACAGCCACTTAGCTCTAATCATGAGCAGCAACAGGAAAAAAAGAACACATAGTGTGATCAGTGTGCTGTTTCATTGTAATATATTGTAACTCGACAAACGGCTTGTGTAAGTATATGGGTTCATTTAGTATTAAGGGCATCCAGAGTGAAGCAGCTTGTGACTTATAGTGGACTGGCTGTTTTATTTTTGCGCACACTTGCGAATCCGCACAATATCCATCAGTGTACTAAGCCTTGGAATGGAAAAGATGTGATGACAATTATTGGTAGATGTTTGTGTTGTTGCACTGTGCTTGTGAAACATGCCAGACCAGTCTATCAGTAGAACAATATTTTATTATTATTTATCTTTTTTTAAGAAGTACTGACGCTTCAATGTGTTCGGGTAAATATAAGCTTGTTATTGTTCTTTTCTGTGTTTTTTTTTATCTCTCTGTGCATTAAATTGTAAAGTTGTTTGAGATATTACATGCCAGATGAAATATGTGCATTCTAGCACAAAAAGAGAGAGAGAGAGAGAATGAAGGTGTACTAAAGGGGGTTGCCTTAAGGGATGAATGACTTGTCCTTTTTTAGGGGTATGTCTCATAATGCTATTCACTAATCTCGTGATTTTTGTGGAAAATAATACAAGTTAGGAGGTCTATGTAAGTGGTGTAATCCATTTGTACTTTATAAAGACATACTTTCAAAACAGCAAAGTTTGTTGGTTAGTGAATCGCTGACGTTTGCTACTTTCGAAGCAAACTTGTTATTCGGGTCTGTGGGTTGTAAAATCATTGTACGATACATGGTTTTGAAACCTGTGGTCAAAATTTATTCATACATGGATTATCTCTAGGTCCTATTTTTGTAGTAGCCTTGAGTGACTTTTCTTTATCCTTGCATGTATACATCTAGTATACTGTGTGCAAAACAGCAGTGGAGGTTATAAATAAATTAGGTGACAACTAGAAATTATTTTCTAGACCAAGCATTTTCAATGCAGCTTGTTCACGTGCTAATTAACAAATGCATGCACAGAGTAAAAGCACTCGAAGTGTTTCTTTTTTGCTTGTTTTTGTTGACAATGTTGTTGTTATGAAATAAATGCGTAATTTAGTAATTTTTGCGCTCTCATACTCTGTATCCATTTCAGAGACAAAAATCCTTTTCTGTATTGCGTTCTTGTCTACTTTGCATTTTCTTTTTGATTAAGCAGCTTGCTGTACCTTTGCTTGTTTTTTATTATTATTTCACACATTGTTTCCTTTGTGGTTTTCCTAAAAGCCTGTAAGACTCTTGAGGTTTTCTCTTTGGGCCAGCAACTCTACTGCACATGTTAATGCGTTTTATCTTGTAATTGTTGGTTGACTTTATCATGGAATTCATTGTAAAGCAGGGCAAAAAGGAGAAGACACAATATGAAGGACTAACGGTGCCTGTCTTGTTAGTCCATCTTGTGTTCTCACCTTTTGCACTCCTTTTTTGATGACGCTAAACCAAATAATCAGGTTTTGCATGCTATCATGGGATATTCGTTAATTTTTATGGAGAAGATGCTATCCAGTAGACTGTCCTTCTGGTCAGGTGCCTGTAAAGAAAGTTTTACTCTTGATGCATTTGAGACCTTGACATACTAGAGTTTGTAAACAGAAGTTTCTTGTGTAGTATAACCCTCAAAACATAAGCATAACTTGTCAAAATTGAATGAAGTTGCATATCATCATCATCAGCCTGACTACATCGCCGCAGGACAAAGGCCTCTTTCATGTTCCGCCAGTTAACTCGGTCCTGTGCTTGCTGCTGTCGATTTATACCCCCAAACTTCTCAATCTCATCCGCCCACCTAACCTTCTGTCTCCCCCTAACCCGCTTGCCTTCTCTGGGAATCCAGTTAGTTACCCTTAATGACCAGCGGTTATCCTGTCTACGCGTTACATGCCCGGCCCATGTCCATTTCCTCTTTTTGATTTCAACTATGATATCTTTAACCCCCGTTTGTTCTCTAACCCACTCTGCTCTCTTCTTGTCTGTTAAGGTTACACCTACCATTTTTCTTTCCATTGCTCGCTGCGTCGTCCTCAATTTAAGCTGAACCCTCTTTGTGAGTCTCCAGGTTTCTGCTCCGTAGCTAAGTATCGGCAAGATACAGCTGTTATATACCTTCCTCTTGAGGGATAGTCGCAATCTACCTGTCGTAATTTGAGAGTGCTTGCCAAATGTGCTCCACCCTATTCTTATTCTTCTAGTTACTTCAATCTCATGGTTCGGCTCCGCGGTTATTACCTGTCCTAAGTAGACATAGTCTTTTACAACTTGAAGTGGACTATTGCCTATCTCGAAGCGCTGCTCTCTTCCGAGGTTGTTGTACGTTACTGTTGTTTTCTGCAGAATAATTTTACGACCCACCTTTCTGCTCTCCTTGTTTAACTTCGTAATCATGAGTTGCAATTCGTCCTTTAAGTTACTCAGCAATTCAATGTCATCGGCGAAGCGCAGGGTACTAAGGTACTCTCTATTAACTCTTATGCCGAACTGTTCCCATTCTAGGCCTCTGAAAACCTCCTGTAAACACGGGGTAAATAGCATTGGAGAGATTGTATCCCCCTTCCTTACACCCTTCTTGATTGGTATTGTGTTGCTTTATTTATGGAGTACTATGGTAGCAGTTGATCCCCTGTATATACTGAAGTTGCATATACTATTGGTCATGTTTTAGGGAGGTGTGTTTATTGGGGTGCTTTAGCCAGGGTTTCAAAAAAGGTGCGGGCAGTAGAAGGCCTGTAAGAGCCCTCTCTAGAGGCATGGCTGGGCTGGCTGAAGAGAACCGAAGATGCAGGCATTGCTCAAAGGCATGACCAAGGACAGCGGCCATCACCCATGGCAAAGTGTCGCGATATCAGCAAGATGTTAGCAAGCACCTGAAATAGAAAAGATTTAGCTGTCCTTTGCTAGAATGAAGAATTTTTACCATCAGCAGCAGCTCATTATGATTATTGCAGGATCAAAGCCTCTCTCAGTCATCTCCTGTGTACCCCTTCCTGTACAAGCTGATTGTATTTTTTGCCTGCAAATTCTGAATTACATAGCATCTTTTTGCATGCAAACAAATATGCTAAATCTAGCTTACGTGAGTGGTTCTGTTCGTGTCATCAAGTTATCTCTGGGAGCTTGGAGACTGTGCAGAAAAACATCTCATTTACAAGCTGCAAACAGTAGCAATGTCCACTGTCGAAAGTGTTTGCTTTTCTCAACAGCCACCGGTGCAGGAGTGACGACATTGTCATAGCCATGTTGTGCCTTCAGAGTTGAAATTTACCTTTATTTTGCAACCTGTCTGGCACACCGCTCAAGGGTTGCATTTAGCTTGTGACATTGATGGCGAAATATCCTTATGAGACGTTCTCTGTGCAAGGCACGTCATAGGAATATTTTCTCATTGTTATTGTTATTATTGGAGACTTCGCAATACTCTTCGCACTTGGCTGCCTTAGAAAACTATCTTTCAACTAACACGCCATGAAATGAAAATGTTAACTGGGGCACTAAGAGCCAGTTCTTTTTTTTACCAATGATTCTAGCTGAGCAACATGCGTGATTGCATAGTTAAAAAATGTGTCGAAGTGCTGTACTATATTCGTTTTTGTGGGAGAAGGGGAGATTGTCACATAATAGATGTGAAGCACTAATATGTTTTGGCAACACACTCTTTCTTTCTAAAAGCACAAAGTTTGCCTTTGAATATATCTTGTTAATGGGAGTTTGGGAAAGGGGCATAAAAAGTTTTATAGATAGACAGAATGCAGAATCTTACAATGACGAACCCTTACTATTCTTTGACTCTAAATTCTAAAATACTGAGTCACTATTTTAGTCTTGCGCTTTCGTGAATATGCTGAATTGTCTTTGCTCCCTCAGTGTCATCCATGGAAGCTGTGTTGGGGTGAAGAGGGGAGGGGGGCACAAAAAGAAAACCTAAAACTACCCTAAAGCAAGACATAGGGGTCTTGGCATGACACTCATACTGGTTCTTTACTAAACTTGGGTATCATATGCAACCCTTAGTTTAACTTATTCCGAGCCAGGTAGGTAACTATGGTTGTGCGCTATAAACACAGGGACATGGGAAACACAGACGAGCTCAAACCTTGTGTTCTTGTGTTCTAAGTACGTAACCATAGTTACCTACCAAGTATGAACCAACTCGCCCAGCAGCAAGTTTCATTGAACCAGGCTCCATGCTTTGTAAATACATTTTCAGAGTTCGTGTGCCCTAGTGTAGAACACTGCAGAGGCTCGGGCCTAACCGAAAACTTGGGCCGAAGGTGAAGTGAAGATTTTACGGTGGGCCCAGACCGGGCTCTGTTTTGAAGCTCCGGGCTTAAGACCTGGAATGAGGTAGTGGGATCAGCCAACAAGAGTGGAGATGTGAGCTTGTTGGTGAAACATTTGAAAGAAGTTTATGTAGCGCGAGGCGAAAAAACGAACACAGGAAAGAATAGACTGAAAGGACAGAGCGCTACTAGCAACAACAACATGTTGCTAGTAGCGCTCTGTCCTCGCAGTCTATTTTTTCCTATATTCGTTTTTTCGCCTCGCGCTACATAAACTTCTTTCAAGTGGGATCAGGTTGGGCTTGGTCTTTGCTCAATTTTTAAGATTGTTGAACATACTTCGTGCATAATTTAGTACATATGTTCCAAAAGTAACTAAAAAAACTCTGTTTTCCATGTGGGGCAAGCTATTCCTGAGAAAAGTTCATGAGAAAAGTAATAAACTTCCTTTGCTTCGGGCAATAACAGATATTTTATTTATGTGGAAAAGGCAAGCTAAAAGTAAGTTTAACAGTGTTTTATATAGTTAACATTTCACTATTCAATGTCTTATTTGCATTCATTATTATTTTGTATATTTTATATTAATGTTTTGTAATCGCTGTAATAAATGTAATATAACTTTGTACCTATAACGTGCTGCAAAATAGATCACAGATACGCTATACGGGGACGCAGTTTTAGACGTCTTAGAACACGTCCACTAAAAAGGAAAGTCGGTAAAGTAGCTTTCTGGGCGAGTTGGTTCGTAGTAATAGAAAGATGAAACCAGCGAAAAACAACATTGAAACAGCAAAGAAGAACAGCCACCACTTGTCCTGTGTGGTTGTTCTTTGCTGTCTTCGTGTGGTTTTTCGCTGGTTTCATGTTCCTATTGGAAGGAAAGGCCTGCATGCAGTATCGTTTCATAGAATCATTACAGAGAAACATCCTTATTCTGGGACTCGCGGCATCCATTGGTCATGTGGCACGAAAGTGATGCTCACAGCCTCCTTTGTGTATCTGCATTGTTAGCGTGCGAAAGGGCTACACGATACTGCCGCAACAGCATTGCAATGTTCAGAAATAGTATAGTAGGTCCATCAGACGAAACGTGGGGCTATATAAGTATATTCGCTTTAACAAACACTATGGCTTGAAAAAAAAACGACTAAGAACGAATTTTGTGCCTGTTCATGCCCCCTTACGTCAAACCGTATGCGCCGATTGAGTAACTTCGACGGGCTTACACGAGCCGTTACCACAAAACTGGGACGAAGCTCAAAAATAAATCGAAATATCTGCTTCATTTGCCTCCTGCCAGTCTTACCCCCATAGTCCAATGGCCATATTCTAACGGTACTACATCGTTATGATGGTGTATTGCATCATTAAAATAGGTAAGAAAAATTTGCATGGCACAAACTGTAATTGCGCTGTTAAATGCCCAACAAGAAGCCCACAAGGAGTTTCATAGCCGACATTGAAGACAGCACAGCATTTTTAGAAAATAAATTAGCTGTACAGCTATGTCTCTTTTAGAAAGGTCTGGAGTGACACGGAAAGTTTGCTTCAATGGTGAAAGCCTAGAAACAGGCGCAGCCAAAAATTCTATACGACAGGGGGGGGGGGGGGGGGGGGGGGGGTAATCAACTATACTTTATGTATGTTGATGCATGCGTTTGTATGTATGCGTGTATCGCAATGCCCATAGACTGTCACGCCGTCAATTGGAATTTGGGAGCGTCCTCTCAAGGAAGGTCAGTAAGCAGACGTTCCCTTATTGGGCTGTGTTAGCCTCAGTGTTTAC